TTACGTCCGGTCATAAGGGATGGGGTAAATAATAATTGTTTGTTGGTAAAATATACTCCGAGTACCAACTATGTGTTGTGCAAGTTTAGTATGTACGTCCGCCATAAAGGATGGGTAAAATAATAATTGTTAGCAGGTAAAACATACTCCGAGTAGCAGAGTATGTGTGCAAGTTAGTCTGTACGTCCGTCATAAAGGATGAGGTAAATATTAATTGTTAGCTGGTAAAACATACTCCGAGTACCAATGTGTGTGTTTTTGGTTGGCTATCGATAGACTACAGTAGACTGTGTGTTCAGTTGAAACACGGTTAAGGATTTGTGACCAAGATGTTAAGATTCGATGGAATCAATCTCTTTTTGACAGTTGAGGGCAACAGCCTATTCGGCTGTCTGTTTTACCTAACTGTGTCAAACTAAAACAGCTCCATACAAGGGAAACTTCCCGCTTATGTGACGGACGTACACACTAACCAGCACACACAGAGACGTACACACTAACTAGCACACATACACACCTGCCGATAAAAGTTGGAAGAACCCCCAGTCTGGTGGGGGCAATAATCTGCTTGATCTAAACCCCCTTTGCCAACATTTTCACTGGCTTAGTTTAACAATCTTATCAAACTGCCTGGCTTATTGTTGCCGAAGCAAAGATCCAATCTCCAACCCTACCAGGTACCCAAGCAAGAAAGGGGGGAAGGAGAAGACAACCACAAACATTCACACCTCGTCACCTCGTGGCACATACATGTAGGACGACAGGATAAGCCCTGACCATGATTCCTCCGACAGAAACCAATCCCATCGAAGAAACTCAGCTTTCTTGCGTGTCTGTTGCTAGCATGCTCCAATTTCATGTCTCCGACAAGTGCCTTCCAGATGCCTCCTCGATTGGTAGTGACACCCTCACGAACCAGACAACAGTATCTGCCATTGACTCCACGCCACATTGGACGTGGTGACTGGGATGGGGACGATCTTCGATGGATAAAACGAATGCGTCGACGAATGTGGCGTCGAAGCAACTATAACATGGGATCTAACGACAATCCAGGTCGCAGCACTTGATTTTTGCCAATTTCTTCATGTTTGTTTATCAAACCGTCAGCACAGTGCAACTCATCGTGCAGCGCAATCCACGGTATTGGCCGCGTCACGCCTTTTCCATCATTACGGATACCCTGCTGGGATCCACCAATGTCCGAGGTCCACTGACCACCAGTTTTGTCCACATTAACTATCTTTCCAATCGAGAACCGTTTCGATTCTTGACCGCTGGCTTTCTCCATGGCGATATCCTTCACCTACTTCTCAATCTGTACGCCTTGCGACAATTACCCTCGTGGGTGGAATCTGGATTGGGCACGTCGCTCTTTGTCACGACCTTTTTGGTAGCCATTGTCACGGGAAATATTGGTCATTCCATTGTCATGGCATCGTCGCCGGCTCGCACATTTTGTCTGGGAGCCAGTGGAGGTATCTGTGGCCTCTACGGCTTGATGTATGTGGCATTGACCAAAATGGGACAATCCCAAGGAGCCAGTCGGATCTCTGCAAAGTATGTTGTTGCTATTTGTATCCGGGCTCTGGTGGGAATCCGTCAGCAATGCCGGACACATGGGAGGATTTCTGGGGGGTATTGTCATGGGAATTCTCTGTGTCCCCAGCTATCAAAAAGACTATCAAATGCGACGCAAAAATAGTCTGCAAGCCGACATGTTCCCTCAGTCGTACCGGCAAGTCATGGGATTTGGAATGGCTCCTTCCAAGAGTGGATTTTTGCCAGTGCAGGCCATTTGGGTAGCCGTGGGGATTCTCTTGCTCTCTGAACCACGATATCAATCCATGCCTGGCAACATTGTCCGAGGTCTGCTCCATCCTGGGTCACTGTCGCGGTTTTGATTTTCTTTGTCTTGGGCTATGGTACATGCAGCACACATCCCAGAGCAGATGAATGTGAGAAAATGGATATTAATTTTGGGTGAAATGGCCGATCCAGAACCAGACACTTTGACCTTTGATGATCTTGATGGTAAGCACCTATTTGGACGGTCGACCACAGCTAGCTATTAATAGCAAAAATTGCATGAAGAGAAGGAAACCCTGCCTCTAGCTATATAGTACTGGTACAGTAGATTCCGCTGAGAGGCTGGGAATATAGCAAAAAGCGCAGCAGTAAATGAAGGAAATCTAAATCGATGCATGTCGAGGAAGAGTTGTCTGTACTGGCCTCCAGCTGAGCATGGACGGCTGGGTTGCTTGGGCTCTTCGCTCAGCCTGAAAATGCTTGCTAGCTAGCAGCTGCGAAACTAGGAAACACAAGGGGAAGCAAGAAGCCACTGTTCCATTCAAAGCATGCGTTGCATCAGACCAAGCTTTCTTTCCGGCAGCTTTCTGCTCTCGCTCCAGAAGCGTCATTGAGTCCTGGTTTGGTTGCGGTAAAATCCTCGCTTCAGAAGGCTTGTCTCTGTCAATCCCAGTAAATTATATTTAGAATACTCACTTTTTGCTGCAATTGATAAAAGGCCCTAGGAGCAACTCAAGTAGCAGGTGCCGGTGAGGAACGTGCCTTCAACTACCTTCAAACACCCTTCAACCAAACCAGGTTCCTAGCTACGGTACAGTGTAGCTGGCTCGCAGGTTCCAGTGAGGATGGTTCCTTTAACCAGCTACTACTGCAGTAGTACCCTTCAAACACCGTTCAACCTAACCATTCGAATACACGGGGCATTGCAAGATATTCATTGGTCGCTTCAAGAAGTGCTCTATAAATCGAGTGCTACTATTGATACTTGAATGTAGTTTTGGAGACAACCATGTTTACGACTGGCGCAGAGTACCGGTGTGGTGCGAACTCTTGAAGCCGAACCTTAAGTTCATTGTTTCGTTTAGCTAGCTAGCTATCTGCCTGCCGCAGCAGCACCCTTGTGTTCTCCTCGCACCCGGCACGTTGAGGCCTCGGAACCCTTCACAGCAGCGTCGGTAGACTTGACGCTTACTTGACACCAGACCTTTGCTTCGATACCGGTAGTGGAGCTTCCAGCTGGTCCAGTTGTCCTCTGAATTCAACGAGCTATTCAACGTTGCCTCTGTGGTAGGTAAAGTACGGTAGATTGTACCGGTATGGTAGTGTACCATTCAGATTGTCTGCGTCTAACTGGAAAAACGGCATTAGCGATTCAAGCGATTGTCCCAGTACCGATCTAGCTACCTTAAGCGTATACGGCAGCCAGCTGTGGTTAGACTACATGTATGTATGTATGTAATACATACATCATACCTTTACTGTACAACTGAGCTTCGGAACTGCTTTGGAGAAGGAGTACTGCAGTACCGGCAAAAAACGAAGGCAAGCAAAACAATAAGAGGAAAGAAACCTATGCCCTATTACCTGTTTCGGATGGCGGAGGAGAAGGGAATTCTGAATGGTTGGTGAAGAATGTATGACAATCGGAAGAGTTGTCGACGAACTCGAAGCATGGCTGGATGTACAACTATGGGTCATAACTAACTTGCCCTTGGGCTCGACGATGCGTGAAGCTGGGGAACTTGTTTCAAGGCAATCCATTTGCCTCGTTTCCATCACACTGAACACTGAACACAAAGAGCAAAAGCCAGTACCGAAAAACATCAAGCGGACTTAAGCGTACTTGCCGCCTGCGAACACTCTGCTCTGCTCTTTGAGCAGAAACTGAACTTTCTTACTTGAAAGCAATTAATTGGGATATTGGGATAGCAAGCTACACAAGCACACCGTTGTTTTGTTTTTCTAGCTACGCACTCAGCGACGCGCGAGAAAAACGGGAGCAGGTGAGTCTGAGTCTAAGCAGCTGTCTAAGCAGAGCCTTGTTTGTGATGGCCGATGAAGGACATGGTACCGGTAGGCAGGCAGCAATAATGATAAGAGTGCCGGCATTGCTGAATACAGTGGCCAAGCAACAATTGCCAGGAAGGCTCCAAGCAACCATGTTTCGAGCCACTAGCCTAGGCTAGCCTGCAGGAATGACGCAGGAGAGTTTGGTATGATGCATGCTGGAGTTGGAGTTGTCTGGTCGGTTCATGAGCTACATGAACTTCTTGAAAACCAAAACTGCCTTTTAGTGCCGATACGGTAGTGCCGAATACGGTAGTACAGTACTCTAGTAGCTCCCAGCCTTCAATGTAGAGCTCATAGCTAGCTAGCTCATGTAGCCCCATGATGCCCATGATCCACCTGTAGCTGGCTGAAATAGCTTGGCTTCTCTCAAGCTTTTGCTAGAGCAGTTCTGCAAAAAGCAAATGAGTTAGAATCGAGTTACTCTAGGTGCACTAGGTGGTTGACGATAGATTGTAGTGGAAAGTGGAACTTTAGTCATTGTACAGAAACACCAGTACCGGTTATTGTGGAGGGCACGTGGTACTGTGTCGCCCTTTGCCGACAGTCACTCAGCTTTTGACGACGCCGAAATCCCCTTGTTAATGTACCGGATTTTGGAATTTTGCTCGGTTTTGGATGTAGATCCCAGACATTTTGGTTGATTCGATTCAGAATTCTCAAAGGGGAATTTACGGCCAGTCCAAAGCGCGAATTTGGACATTTATTTTGTCTGTGAATACGGTACACGGAGACTTTGGGAAGCTCTTTGGGACGCCTGCGTGTGGTACCAGCACTGTGAATCTGTGAATGGTGAATGGGGCACAAGCGAGCTCACAAGCGTCTGTACGAGTACCAGCAGCACGGGCACCTGAAGCAAGCGAAAGGAGGCAGTAAGTGTGAACTTATTACAGCATTACAGCTCCTATTTCTCTTTTGAGCAAATAAATAATTAAACTTACGGCTCAAACTTACGGCTCAAACCTACGGCTCAAAGTGAAGGTAAATCTACCGAAACTACATATTTAACTTGAAACACACATTAGGGGAAAGAGCGCAAGGTATTGTAGCTGTATTGTGATGTTCCAAAATAGGGTTTCCCCCTCCCTCGGATCTCCAAACACACATTTTTGAGGTCACACTGGTATAAAGGTAGCTTTGTGTATGCATAAAAGGACTGTTGCTGAAAGGAAATTCTGAGGGTATCTCGCGATTTATCCGAGGCGTGCCTGATTGTGCCTGGATGACTCTGGTGATCCCGCCTGAGCAAGACCCGAGCGCACTGGGTAGAGGCCCCAGCAGGTAAAACACGATAATACTGAGCAAATGTAAGCTAAAACTATTTTTGAACTTGTTTCCAGCAGAGTCCGACCAAGCTATATTAATCGATAGTCGTGGTTGGGACGGCGTGGCAACCACGGCTCGGCAGGAGCGGCGCGGTTCGGATGCTTTCTTCCACAGCGGTGATAAAAAGCCTACCTTTGTAATCTTCCTGTTGATCTTTATTTAATGGCACAAAGCAGCTGAACAAGCACTTCGGAAAGGCTGGGCCGTGATTTTCAAGGTCAGCGACAAGCTCCGACGGCAATGTTTTAACCTTGGACACTTTGATCAATACCGGAATTGACGCAGTAGCCATCTCATAAAATGATCGTTGAATGCCTCCTTTTCGGATTTTGCAGCCACTTGGGTCACAACATCATGAACACCTTCATCATCATCAACATCATGAACAACGATGCAGCCCCAACGAGAAAGAATCATAAAAAAACCAACAAGCTTGACCTGATCAATCAGAGCAACAACGAATTTCCCAACACCTGCTACTCTGGATTACTCGAGGGAGAAGCAAGCTTGCTTCCTGAACAACCGCCGCCAATGCTTCGTTTTGGACTCGACAACAGCACCCCCAAATCATCTACCTTGCCCGAGTTGCGCATGAAGAGAGTTGAGAAAAAGGCATCTTACCAGCGCAGGAACATTGTAGAGCCACACCCCCACGATGGTGCGTACTCATGTTGTGTCAGCCAACGGATTTGTTTCCTTGTCATCTCTTTCTCACTTTTTCCCTCTAAAACTTCTAAACTTTCAGTGCTGTGTGGGAGAGGTGCCAGCATCAACAACTTCATTGGCAACCTCCGATGGAGAGATCTTATCAAGAACAAGAAGCAAGAGTACGTCCAGCTACACAAACTACAGCGCCATATCCTATCAGAGAGTATTGTCTTTGCCGTAAGGAATCTTGACCCCCCTGGTAGATTTCTTCAGCGAGACCCCGTCACTGGACTCTGGAACGACATAGGCGATCAGCGTGCCAATGAAAAAACGGCACAGGCCCTTCGTGAAGGAGCCCCCAAGCTCAGGAAAAAGATCAAGGCCGCACCTGAGGCTGCAAAGAAAGCTGCTGCTGCTGCTGCGGACACGAAGAAAGGAGGCCCAAAGAGAGACAGCCCGCCCCCAGCCAAGCTCCCGGTCGATCCCCCGGCCAAGCTCCCGGGCAAGAACGTTGCCGCGGCAGAGGCTCAGCCTGTGTATGTCCCTTCCTTGGATCTCCCCTCTTTGCCAGGAGGCAGCGGCCAAAGGCCACACGCGCAGATGATGGAGCACCCCACCAGAGCATCTATGGATCCGTTCGCCATGGCTCCAGCGAACGTGCCATCCGGACCACCCGTTGCGACCTTGCAGCAGCCTGATGCATCTGAAACGTTCAACCCGGAAGACTTCTTTGAGCCCCTACCCCTGGAGCATGGCCATGTCTTGCCGAGTTCTATTGCCCACAGTGAAGTGACATCTCCACTTGGACCCTTCCCCCCAGGTGCGTCCCTTGCTGATGCGCACATGCTGTCGTTCCAAGAACGGCTGAGCAGCAACGGCAACAACAACAATCATGGCGCTTTCTGGAATTCTGACCTGGAGCCTAACCGATTCCCGCCCTTCCGTCAAAACGAATCCATTGCCGGTATGACAACATCGCTTGGGTTTCACTTCTTGCCAACAAACTACGGCGCCAATTTCCCATTCTCATCATCATCGCTCTCGTCGTCTGCGTATCATGTGGGACCTTCGTTCCTGCATCTAGGTGGGAATTCTGGTACCGGCCACGGGGATGCAGTCAATCCATTTCTGGAAGAAGGAGACAGTCTACTGTCCCACGCTGCAGATTTGATCCTGAAATCTGGAAATGATCAGTCTGAGGACAACAACGCTACGGGGGGACCAGACAATACAAAGGAGGACGACCATCATCATCATCATCATCATCGTTCGTGAATGCACGTTGACAGAGGGGGTCTAGTAGCTAGAGTGTGGACGATTGGCATAGATATAGTGATTAGAGTATCTACGGTGATATTTGCACGACGCGCCAGCCATTTGGGTTGTGTATCTGGTTGGATTCGATTCCGTGGAACCAATCTGAATTGTTGATGTGATGGCTTGTAGCAACCTTGCCCGATCGAGTTGGCCATGATGTTGCATGGAACCCAAGATAGAGAGTTGCTAAACAGTGTAATAGCTTTCATGCTGAATTTTACAGAAGTCCGTCGTTGCAATAGCCACACCGAACCACACCCGCATTCCCAAGCCCAAGTTGGTGCAATGTTTGTAGTTTCCCTATCTCCAATTAGAAGAAAGAAACGATGGCATGCCAAGCAGCCTTGTCCTCGGCTAGCCAGCTTGCGCACCAGCTAGTCCTTAGCAGAGTGTCGGCGCATCAAGAAGGGCTGAAATGGTTAGTCCTTTCGATTCTATCTGGCAAGCCCGTCCATGGTTCCATTGCTTCGTGCTTGGCATGTTTATGCAATCATTTATGCCAGCATGGCTCCACACTCCACAACAACCAGCGGCCGCTCATTCGCCCGAAAACATTTGTCACTCGTGCGAAAAGATTGGTACGACAGCTCAGGAAAGGAAATACTTAACAACTCTATCAGTAGGTTCCTGACGTCAATACCGGTACGGCTGCATCTAGCTACTGGTACCGGTAGTACGGTGTTACCTCAATGATCTTCATTTAACTGGTACGGTACTGTTGGACTGTACCATCAGACCTACCATCAGTAGCTTCACGGCTTTCGGGAGGCTTGCCCGACTACGGCTCGCTACTACAACTCCTAAAAATGGGTTGGTTTAGAGCAGGGTAGTTATCTTTAGAAGCCGGCACTGGTTCTGGCTTCTGTATCTGCCGCTCAATCGTAAGGGTTGTAGGCAACTTCAACTCCCTCTTCTGGTTGACTAATTGTAAGCTGTGCAAAGACACTGGATCGCCGCTTGTCTTCATTGGCATGATCGAATTGTGGAATGCCCATCACCTGGACAGACATGCGTCGATTGGCTTCGGTGAATTGATCAACTTTTTGAGTCAAAACCTTTGATGATGACCTTCCAGCAACACTTGCGCGTCCTTTGGGAACGAGACTCGTTCTTTCGCCGGCCTCTTCTTCGGTGCCTGTTACATTGTACTCGTCTTCGAAGACCTCGATTTCCAGGGGTTTGAATACAGACACATAGATAACTCCCAGGACAGTTAGTATGGGGCCAATGACAATGTACAGGGCCAACGGATTCAACTCCCGATGAAACTGACTGTTTTCTACTTCCTCTGATTCACGAAGGACAAAAGTAGCCACAAAGCTTGGAGTCAAAAACCCTGCCACGCTGGCAAACATACTCAGTAGGGCTTGCATGAAGGCATGGCGCACTTCCAAAGCAGGATGAGCATCAACCCGGCGTGTAAACAATGATCGATTGGAAGCAGCAATGAAAGGAAACCCACAAATGGAAACAACCACGGGCAAGACAAACTTCCAAGCTTCAGTATTGGCAACCCACATAAAATACAGCATGGTTCCTCCAAAGATCCAACTGGAACTCCCAATCATGACCATGATCTCATCGCGGACGCCTCTGTCAGACAGGATTCCTACTATTACCATGTTGACAAAGATGACAATAGATGTGGAACCCAAGACAGCAGATGTTTGCACAGGCCCCCATCCCAAAGCATGGTACGCAGCAGGAGCAAATCCAGTTTCAATGCTGTCATCCATTCATCCATTTTGGGGAAAAGGTCCAAATTGAGTCAAAGCACTGTGAGTGAACGCATCAGCGCATTTTATTGTACTCCTTTTCTCTGCACCGGACTTACAGTTGAAAATTGGAATTGAATACAAAAATAGTAAACAGAGGCAAGAGGATTTCAACAGTGCAGATTCCCTTGATAAACGCCCACTGGCTTGTTTCTTCTTCCGTGTAGTCCTCCTCGACAACCTCTCCAGCCGCATTCATGGACGAGTGTTTCTTGTGCAATTTTTTCCCTGGTTCTTTGAGTAGGAAGAAGATGAACAAAAATCCCATAATGTTGGAAGCAACCAAAAAGAGTCCCACAGAATTCAAAGAATCCACTACGATAGTTCTGCCTCCTATTGTCACTGTGGTGTTGATATCTTTCAAAAGCAAGTTGAATCCAGGTCCAGCAGCCATACCCACGATGCGCATCATGGACAGTAGATTGTTCATTTTGGTCTGATCTTTGGAAGGGATAACACTGGCCACATAGGCAAATCCCAATGCATTATTGGCAGCTCCAAATCCACCCAAGATACGGCCAGCCAAAATCATGCCAATGGCCGTACTGGTATTATCGGCAAAGGCACTGGCATAAAAGTAGAGGAACCCGCCCAAAGATGCCAAGACAATGGATGTCAAATAAGGAAGTCGAAACTTGTTTCCCGCCGAATCCACCCAAATACCAAGCACCGGCTTGGCACAGAAACTCGCAAAGGAAAAGGCACTGAGAATGATACCGTACTGCTTATTTGACCCATGAGCTTGCTCGATGTAAAAGATCAAGGAAGGTGTCACCACCATGTAACTCACAGAGTCGACAATGCCGACTAGGGCGAGTGAGAGTAGCGCAAACTGACTGTTGGTGAGGACCATCTTCTTGGTTGGATGTTACCTTGGCAACAACTTATGTACCGATAAAGATCTAAAGATCTCCCTCGATGGATACTAGTACGAGGACATGCGTGGGACGGCGTGAAAAACAAGGCGTCGGAGAAGCCGGAGATGAGTTCCGCGAACCTCGAAGAAGGTGATGCCCAGAGAACCTGAAAGAGGACTCGCACACCCGCCACACCTGAACATCGATCTCGATTCGATTCGATTCAATCCTTCGATTTGTTGGAGTGCAACAGCGGTGCGCGTCTTCCCTAGCTAGCTAGTAGAACTTCCTCCTCTTGGGCCTTGGGCTACAGATTTTGCTTCCTTTCGCAGGTTCCTCTTTCACAGTCTTCATAGCTGTCTTCATTACTCGACAGAGTACACCCTCGACCCTACCGTACCGGTAACTCGATTGGCCCTGTGGCCGCCATAACAACAACTTTCCTTTGATACCATGGATGTCCCAGCTCTGTTTGCCGAGCTGTTTGCTGCTATTGACAATCCTGTGCCTACCAGCAACTGGAGTGTATCCAAGAATCACCCATTGGAAATGGTGCTGATGGTCAAGGCTAACTTGGAAACTGTCAAAATGTTCTATGAGTTCTATCCAGAAGCCCTAACGGCAGAGCTGTTCACCAACGTCCTCAAATAAATGTGGAGCTAAACCAGGAGTGGTTGGCTTTCTTGCCACAAAGTGTCCTGAGTTGGTTGATGAAGCTGCTCTGGAGATTGCAGTGTCTCAAGGACCAGGACCTGATAGACCTACTGACAACGAAATCATTACCATGGCTAATGTCAATCCAGAAATATTGATGCCCAAACGTCCAAGATACTTGCTTTCACGTTTTGTGCTTGGTCTTGAACTGGAAATACAGCCTTCAATTGACACAAGGCCTCTTCAAAATGATTGCAGGGAAGTTATCTGAACTCAGTTTGCCTTAAAACATAACTGATGGTATCGAAAGTGTTGATCCGTGGGTTGTTATTGATGAAAATTCCAGCACGAAACGACATCAATGGATATGGAGGCCGTGCAGGGCATGGAGCCAGTTCTCAACAACACCGACAAAGGCAGCACTATCAAGACTGTTTGTTCCTGGTGTGCTGATTGGGAAGTGGGTGCCTTTTTGGAATTTGTCCGCAAAATCCTCTCAAATCGGAGCATAAAGGAGCTGACCCTCAAATTCCCAGAACCCTCCCAGGATGAACATGGAAAATCAACAGTGTTCAACTCAGATACATTCAAGCAGCTGCTGCCTAAATGTAAAATCCGATATGTAAGGCTGTTTCCACGTTCAAACAATCCGTTGGCGTTTGATTTCCTGGAACATTGCTTGGCAGGAATGCCTTGTCTGACGCGAATCGATATAAATCTCGAAACTGATGTTGATGCTGCATCGCCAATTATCAGCAATTTCCTCTGCAACAACTTAGTAGTGGAGTCCTTGATTATCCAGGCAACAAGTGACACATCAGCAAAGGGGCTGGATCGAATTCTCAATTCGCTCAGAGCAATCATACCCTCCAATGGTTCTACTACCGTCAATGTAATGTGCAACCGGACAAGTTCAAGAGATACCACGAAATGTTAGCACGTATTCTTCAGAAGTCCAATACAACGCTAACATTTGCGGGATTTCTGATGGCTGCACTGCACAAAATTGGAAAGGCAACCTCTGCAGTGAATTGCATCCAAGCCGACACTTGCTGCCTTTCTACACAACCCTCAATTATATGGGATGCAAAGAAGCACCTGAACCAGACTCCAACACAGCTGGATTTGTGGATCTGCTGGTAGGGGTGCAAGAGGCTACAATAGATCTTGGCGATGTGTTCGACGATCACAGATTTCCCGCAACAGATGACAATGTTTTCAATATACTTTATGGACTTTTGTATGAAAACCCAGGCAAATGGAGTCATCCAGGCAACACCTTACAACACAGTGCCACAAAGAGTGCTGCTTGTGGAATCAAGAAACGAAAGCACAACGCCATGTCTTGATGACTGGCTGCATCAATTGATTGGATTTGCCGTTTGGCTTGTTGCTGGATTTGCAAAGCATGCAGTGTCTCCCGGGCAAAGGCTTCAGAAATTGCTATCTGCTCTAAATAAGTTGCTGCCACTGGTTGCGCAAGGGCAGGAACGATCTGACCAAGCCTCACTACTCTTCAAATTGGGTTTGCCATCATACCGGTACTTTTCTGGCTAACTTTGACGAAGGGCGAAGCAGCTTCCTGAAGTGGATTATAGCTAGACTGTGTGCTAACTGCCAGAAAAGATACAACCTATAAGTGTCGAGAAGTTTTGACAATGCTATTACCAATCCCGTGCATTCATTGCACCCGGCGGCAATGACCCCAACTATGCATACGTGTCGACCCGATTCATTCTTTTGGTGGCAGCCTGTTTCTGCTGGCCTGTCTTTCCGCCAGACTTCTCGCTTGTGATTCCCGTAGTCGAGCGATGCGTTGTTCGGCATACGACATATGCGAAGGAGTGACGGACACATTGTCGGGCTCCCTTTCTCGAGTAGCGCCCCCCAGCTCCTCGTCGTCGAATTCGTCCTCGCTGTCGTCGTCAAAAGCATCCGCGGTGGACTTGAATCCCATCCCTCCCCACGAATCGGCGGCACGTTCTCTCTTCTTTGGGACAGCAGTGCTAGCCGTACCAGTACTCTTAGTGGAACTCCGTAGGCTTTTGGATTGTTTCGATGGCTGTTGTTGCGGTTCGTCTCCAGAACTCGTTTCCGAGATTGGCGCAAGATGCTCCACTGCACCAAGATTCTCGGAACGGGTAAAGTTGGAATTGGTACTCATAAAGTTGGAAAAGGAAGATCTCACTTTGGAGGCTTTGTGGATGGAGTATTGTTGTGCTGCACTTCGCATGGCTTGCTGACTGTCCACGTTGTGGCTACGATCGTACCACAGAGAGTACATGAGGTTGCCAAAGATCAACGCAATCACCATAAAGTCATTCACGGCGATGATGATGCTACGGACAAAGAAGCTTGATTTGGGATCGGACCCCAGAATGACCAATACTGGCAAAGCGACCACAAAGACCTGTAGATTGGAGATCATGGCCACAGCCAAATATTTTCCCTCTGAAAACTTGGTAGGGATATCACGGGAGACATAACATAGGTAGCAAGCCAATCCCAGGAGTGTAAAGTGAAAGGCAGCAATGAGCCCCGTGAAGATCTGCCAATTGTCGCATGTGCAGTGACCCTCCGAGGAACTGTCATTCGTTCGTTCATTTCCGACAAGGACCAAACAAAATCGAGTGAGTATGGAAGCTTGTATGTATGCGGTGATAGTTGAAGCAAGCAAGCCATGTATGTATGTAGGCATTGCACCATGTAACTTACAGTGGAGAACCGTATTTGTCCGTCATGAGAATGGTTCGCTCCCATCGCAAGGGATCGACGAGGCTCCATGCCAATAGGATGGCCACATCGAGCATCAAGACAATCCCAATGACACCCACGGTTTCCGTGATGCCGACACTAATTTTGCGAGTGGACGTGGTTTGTTGGAACAAGAGGTAGACTCTTCGTATCTTGGCAAAGAGAGTTCCAAAGGTAATGGAGAATCCCACGCTGTACAACCACGGAATGGCCATGCATGCCTTGTGTACATTGAAAAAGTTGTCTTCATTGACATCTCCATTCAAGTTTTCCTGTGCCATGGGAATGATGGTCGACGTGGATATGAGACAACCCAGCAGGACTAGGCAGAGGAAGAACGGCTGCGCCACCTGGACTTGAGGCGTGTTGCGATTCCAAAACAACCACACCAAGGAAACGAGTACAGCCGCCCCGTTGACGCCCACCAAGACGTATCCCACGGTGCGCAGAGCGGAAGGAATGCCCCTGGTATCTTCCAGCACTTCGACGCTACAGTCGTCCCCGACCCATTTGGTCGATTCACAAATGCAGTCTCCCATCCGATCGCTCCGTCCATGTCCGGGATGACAGGGTTGATCGCAGTCGGGTCCGGCCTTGCCGACGGGACACAGATTGACGGAAAAGTACTTGTCAAAGAGTGCGTCCAGCGTCGCATTGCTCTTGGCGGCGTACATCCATCGCTGAAGGAGTTTTTTCACGACGGGATCCAATGTGGACCGCATGGGCCAGGCAATGAATTGACTGAATTGACTTTCCTGCGTGACTTGCAAGGTAGGGTCGTCCACCACCCGGTGGCGCAGTTGGAGTTCGTCGTCTACGAAGAGTGCGCATTGATTGTCTTTGAGCATGGCGATGCAGTCGGCGGTTTCTTCGCAGCGTTGGTAGGTGGCGTCGGGGTAATTTTCCATGGCGAGCGCGTCCATGTAGGAATCGTGAAGGACACAAATAGTGGCATTGGCTTGATTGGCTTCGTCGAGTGTTGTCACGTCGATCGATCCGGGTTGAACTTGACGAAAGACGTACTGCATGGCCGAGACGGCAGTTCGCAAAAAGGGAGGCGCAAAGTCGACGCGAAGAGATCGATCTGGGTTGGTGTAGTAATCGCCCATCAAGAAATCGTACTTGGTGCATTCTTCCAGCGGTTGCGGATTGACCGTGGTGTTGCAATTGTCGCTCAGTCGATCCAACATGACGACATAGCCGTAGAGAGGTGCTTCTTCGAGGACAATGTTCAACTCGACGCCATCTTGTTGGGCAAAGATCTTTATCCGTTCCAACAAGTCTGGCTGAAGACCCGAATACTCACCCGTCAGTTCATTCCGCATGGCAAAGGGTTCCGCATGAGTCAGGACCGCCGCTCGGAGGGTTACGTTCGAAGGAAAGTTCTCAGGGTACATTACGTCCAACGAGTTGGCAGCAGAGGCCGCCATCCATAGCAGCATCATCAGCAGACGCCGCAAGGACAGAACAGTCAAAGCCATGGTTGATGTGGCAGAGCGAGAAAGAGAAAGAGGGAGGGAGCTTGGAAAGAGGAGAGTTCTGATTGTGAGGATGCTGGAGAATACCAGTTTCAGCGACTGTTACTGACTCTTGAGGGTCCTTGGGAAACCAATACTGGTGTGGATGAAGAAAGAAGAGAAGCGCCGCAGATTGTGGGAGCTTTGTGGCCCTTCCAAAGGCAAACCAAGTCTCCGTGTCTTGTGTCTTGGTGAGCTCAATTCCCAGTTCGGATTCACACTCAAACAGGTTTAAAGGTGGGTACGATGTAGGCAGGAAAGCCCCTATCTGCCCCTGTTCTCCTCCATGACTTAAAACGTGGGTCGTTGAAACAAACAATGACGGTCATTATGACAATAAGACTGGTACCCATCAAATAAATCCTTTAAACCAATTGCTTATAAGTTTTGGAGCAAGTCAAGAAAAGAGCACTTTCGTTTTAATTCGCTATTATCTATTAATGCCAGGTCGTCAAGTAAGTGACTTCTCAACAAAGAAATCTATTTAACATCAATTGCCAGAAATGGGAAAGCTCACACCACGTAAAAAGAAGTTGCTTTGCGGTTCTGTACGTCACACGTCACCAAGGAGTCAGTATGGTAAGCTGTACGGTACGGTAAGACGGTACCCGGGTAAGCTGACTGCTCATCGAGAGGGGGCAGAAGGGTAGTTTTGCAACAAGTAAGCAAGTAAAAGCCTTTCAGTCACAGGGCTCAACAGTCAACGCAGCTGTCAACGCAACAGCAACGGTCAAGCGCAGCTCAGAGCCAGCTAGCTAGCTAGCAATGACACGGCTACAGATGGCAAGTACCGGTACTAGTAGGCGATACCAGGTACCTTGTCCGGTGACACATCATGATCAAAAAGACTGCTTCGTCTCCGTATTACGATGAACAGGCATAGGTGTCCATTCGAAACAAACACCCTTGCTTCATTTCCTTTGACACTCATTTTCCGGTGGCACGGCCTCTAACGGGGCGAGACGGATTCTTTTTCTGGAGTCTGGCTGGAGAATTCTAGCTATGATGGTTGACCCAAAGCGTGGGTGCTACCGGTACCGATAGACCAAGTTGGCTGGTTGAAGTTGTTACAGTAAAGTAAAGATGGAGGGCAAAAAGAATCTAGGTCAAGTTGTTACAGAAAGGAGCAGGAAGCAAGGAAGTGAAGGTGTCCAACCTTAAATGGCGACAACCCCAAGAAGAACAGCTCCCATTGCAACCAACCAAGATGAGACGAGTAAAGTTGATGCACTGGAGGTTGTGCCAATAGCGCCTCGCAGGGCATCTCCCACAGCAGTTTCCGTGGGTTCTAGTACAGTTGACTCATCGGGAACAGGTTCAGATGATGGATCTGCTGAAGCTGGCTCCTGGCAAATGTTGGCATCCTGAAAGGCATCGTACGTGTAGGCAGCAGTTTCCGGTCCCACCCAGCACAGCGCTTCCCAGTAATGAAGCTCTCCTGATGGGGCATCGGCGTTGTCCAAGAGCTCCACACCCAGAAACGGCCATTGCGATGACACCATATCATTGAGAAAGGTTCCTTCCGTTTGAGGGAGCGAAGCAACCGTGGCGGATGCCTTGAAACCCCAATACTGGTCTGCCATGTCAGGATTGCGTCGCATGAAACTGAAGGACAACATGTCGATAAAGGCGTGGTGCAGCATGAAGATGGGGTCGTTGGGTGACGTGAGCTTGTCAATGTAGTCTCCTTGGCGGACTCCAGGTAGTTTCAGGTTGGGAGGGGCAAAGTCGGGGCAGCCAAAGCCAAACTTTTTACCATCATCATCGGCACTGCCAATCCAAAAGTGCCCAAGTTCGTGGGCGCCATTCGTTGTGGGGCTTTCCAAGCACCAGTAAAAGTCTTCAAAGTTCTTTTGGGAGACACAGGTTTCAAAGTTGGCAGCACTATACATGAGAGGCCCGGGCACTTCATCTGTGCAGGTGGGGTAGCGGACAAACTGATTCGTGGGGACATCACTGCTTCGGAGCAATCTCACTCCCGTGGCGGTGCTAAAGATAAGTGGAAAGTCGTCTGGCAAGTGTCGGGCTCCCAAAGTCATTTCGTGTTCGTACTCGCTTACGCTCCATCCCTCGGCAAATGCGCCATCTTGTACCTCGTGATTCGGACCGGTGCCGGTAGTGCTCCCAAATTCGACTTCGCCAGGGCCAAAGACCGATTCCACGCCATCTCTCAGATCCCAGTAGGGGATCCCCTGGAGCGAAGGATCGACTGACAAAACCGTGTTTTCAAACCTCAACAGGAGCAAGCGGTGAAACAAGCTGAAATGCTGGTCCAGATGGGCTTGATCTCCTCGAGGATCTGCCACGGCGGCAGCATGCTGGAGAATGAACTCATCGTAATTGATAAACTCCATTCCATAAATCTGTTGTCCGTTGGGTGTTGGAGTGTTTTTGATGATCTTGAGCGCTCGAATGAACTTTTCTTTCTCTTCCACTGTCAATGTGGACCAACTTCGTCGGACCCTGGGATGACAGTCTCTTGGAGCAGCATTACAGGTAGGGCAGGTGGCGTCATCTGGAGACGATCCGCATGCCATGGGAGCAGGATCTGGTCGAAGTGGGTGAGCAAAGAATTCCGCCGAAGCGAAACTAGAAAGAAGGAACAGACTGAGAGTGATGCTCGAATAGATTGCCATGGTGCTATTTGGTTTTGTCGGAAATCGTTTCTTGTTGATTTGGTTGTTTCTGTTTTGTGAGCACTACATCGATGTCTTCAAGTGTTGACTGAGTGTGCGAGCCATTGTGCTCAAGGAGATTGACTTCTTCACAGACCACACTGGAAATGCTGGAGAGTTGCTGTTTCCGCCCAAATTGTGGCTCGAGATTGCCCAGCCTCGATACCGCAGTCGTAATTAGATGACACTGCACTTCTCTATGCCTGAATGACCACCGAAGGCTGTTCAATGGCCTCTCAGGACGCACACTTTTAATTAAACCATAATTTGAAGCCAGCAGCGATGGCTTTGCACGACATTAACTTTGGCTACTGAATAGTGGCCAAACCACTGCATCAAGAGGGGGCATGCCTGGTGGGCAAGGTAGTCGAGCAGGCACCAATGAAGAATAGAATGGCTGTGCTTGACAAATGATGGAGTACGATCGTACTACATGTAGTAGCACCGCATCGCAAGAAAAGTAGCCGGCCAGGGCTCCCAGATACCGTACTCGCTATTAATAGCTACGATAGCTAGCTACATGTCCAGATGTACCGGTAGCTGCGTCTGTGTTCTTGATTTCGGTTTTTGCAATCCACACAGCCAATAATGACCGCTTGATTACGGCTTTTAAAATAGCAAGCGAGCTGCTAAACGCGTCGTTGGGCTTTTGCATCAACCTTGGCGTCTCCATAAGCCACAAAAGACAAAGCAGAATTCGCAGATCTTAGCGAGCTCGACGAGCCCATCAACGAATGGCTGAACCCTTGATGAAATCATACGTTCGATCCAACAAGAACAGTAGCCAGCCAGGGCCCACAGACACTGTGCTCGCTAGCTAGCTAGCCACATGAGCTGCGTCTGATTTGATTTCAGCTCTTGCAATCCAGTGATGACCGCATGTTTGCGTTTTACGAAATCCAAGCACCCACCCACTTCATTCGGAAAAGACAGAATGCGTATTTGGAAGATCCTGGCGAGCTACTAGGCAGGCAACGGAGATATAAGAGCGTTACACAAATGGATATACATGTACAGGAGAAAAAGGTGGTCTCTAGTATGTAACATTACTGTAAAAGCAAGGCAATCACTCCAAGGGTGTACGCTTTCCATTTATTTAGCCAAAGGAAGGAGTTCGTTAACATTACCCATGGCATCGTGGAGCATAAGTCCAAAGATTCCCATTTGAGCAGCACGTCCGTTGTTAAGCTCGATTGTTCGCTTGTTGGTCTTCCAGGCATCAGTTTGCTTGTCCCATCCGAAATCGATGTGTCCATTACGGAAGTCACCAGGGAACTCACTTGGTGGGCAATCGGGCCAGATATCACTGGCATCACGGTTGAATGCCTCCATGGCTCCAATGGTGAAGGCCATCTGGACGAGAACCACCTTGGGGCAAGCAGCCCAAGCGGCCCATCCTGCGGGGATGTCTTCGGCACCGGGGAATCGGATACCAGCGTAGGTGGTGAGGTATCCAACGACGGCAAGCATAGCAACACGTCCGTGCTTCAATTCGATGTAGCGATAAGTGTCGAATTTCTCCTTGTTGCCATCCAAGCAGAAGCCCATAGGATCAAAGTATCCTAGAGGCTGTATGGCACCGATCTCATTGGCAAAGGGAGCCGCCTTTACAATCAAAGCACTGCTGCGCTCTGTCTGAGACGCCGGGGCGAAAGCGGCGGCAGAGGCGATAAGGGAGGCAACAATAGCGGTCTTCATGGTGAAATCGTATATCCAAACAAAAAATGCGTATCACAAAGACTACAAAGAGAAAGCTACAGTGGCTGGCTGGATGCCTTGCGCACGGAAACAAGTCCACGCCACCTCCTCGGCACCAGGAAGCTTGAAGTGGAAGCAAAGGATTCTGCAGCGTCATTGAAGGTATCTTGTCTCGTTTTTGGGTCGGTTTTGCTAATGACTCAGTTAGACATTTTAGTGACTGGAATCAAAATATCTTTTTGTAGTAGTATCCACGTCTCACATTCCAACGCATGAAGCTCGCCAAAACATGTTACATGTACCAGTACCAATGCTGAACGGGTGTTGTCCGAAATTCGAAGCCTCCAGCAGAACCAAATGGAAGGACGACCAACCACCAAGGACATGAACTTACCACCACCTCTTGCTTGTACCGGTACACAACGGCCATGTTGCTTCACAGATCTATCAAGAGAATCCTTTACCTTGTTTGTTGGGCCCTGATTGTTGCTCACAACATAGCACAAGGCCAACACATTCAACCGATACCCTCCCAAGATGACGGCAGTCGTGGGGATCCCAAGCTCGTCGACGTGTCAGGTTTGGGTCCAGAAGGAACCGACTTTTATGACATGCCCTCAATCGATATTCAGTTGGAAGAAGATGGGCCCACTTGGACTGTGTACAGGCTAGCGCACATTGACAGTCACTTTGCCGGAGAATCCAATGACGGAATGGTGGCGGCCAATCTGCTAAGGTATCAAGCTGGCAACTCTAACGCCGAAGTCTTTACCGGATTGGTCCACGACCGAGCGGGCGGAATGTATTATGAACTCAAACCCGATATAGATGGAAATGTTGAAGTCTTGAGCACGCAACGAGAAGACATGCCCATGTCTGCCTTGGTTCAACCTGAAGTCCAATCCATTTGGACGGAATTCAAAGCACTGGCTGATTATCTCGCTACATGTGCTCTCAATCTAAGGCGAGATCCGGACAAGTTTGTGGAAATTGATGTCATGATCGTGTGGTCCCACAATGCCGAATGTGCCAAGGCAGGGCTCCCTGTGGATTGCAGTGTCACCGACGACTCGTTAAACATCATGTTGGCAGCCCTCAATCTCACTGTGGAAATCAACAATTTTGTCCATGCCAACTCGCAAACCAACACGAGTCTGAAGATTGTCCATGCACAACGAGATACTTCTGGATACAGAGAAACGGACCCATTTCAGCTCATAACTGAGTTGACCATTCCCTTGTTCGATGGCCAGCTCAACTACATCCACCCACTGCGCGATCAAAAGAAGGCCGATTTAGTCGCATTTGCCTACGACAATCGCATCGTTGAGAACCCAGGATATGGAATAGCCAACGCTCCCGTCCCGGTATTTGGTTTGCAGGGGTTGCCCCTGCCACCGTTCCTGGCGTTTTCGGTCTTTTGCATCCAGTGTTCAGCTGGAACTTTGCAAACACACGAGTGGGGCCACAATCTGGTAAACAGCTGGCTTTGAGTGTGTACCTCGTGGACAGCTCTATTAGTAGGATCTCACAGCATGAAAATGTTGCCTTTTGCTCCACCAACAGGGCTGCACCCATGACCGAGGTACTGTCACAGACCAGATCAAGGACGCTATTGGTGACAATCCATTCAATGCATGTGAAGATAAAACGCACACGAACTATGGATATCGGTCTCCTACAGGAACGTTTCATACTGGTGAGTCCACGCCCAGCACAACGGCATCATGATGGTTGCACGCCGCTCACGTATGGTCTTTTCCTGCTTCTCTCAGTTATGAGCTATCGCTGCCGAGAAGGTCAATGTGACAACTGGAGTTCCAACACAGCCAACGGCTTCTGTGCAGAAATCCCATACTTTTCTGGCAAGGACACATGGAGAAATGGCGAATCGATGGGTGGCGAAGAGAACAACTGCCGTGATAGGATCAAACGGGATAAGCATTTCATTGCAAGGAATCGGTAGATGTTGTATTCAGTGTGATCAGTGGATTCATATCGGTGCATGATGGGCACTTCTTCGGAGGCAGCCATAATCGTCATATCTTCTTGTCGGAAAGCACTCTAAGCTACGTTGATGAGCATTGCAAGCATGAAGCAATGAAATCCTAAAGTTTGCAGGAAGTAACGAAGTCATGAAGTAAAGGTTATGAATGTAATTGGGTATCATCCTGGCTGCAGACCACTCGCTCTTCGTTTGGCAGTCCCGACGGGAGTGTTTTTGTATTGGTTCTGTTGTGGCAGTTGGTATGGCCAAGAATGCAACCCAATCGAAGGCTGAGTCGCCGGACCTTGCAAACCGCAGCGTCGTCGCCACCGGCAACGTTTGCCCAGAGCATTATGGGTAAGGTGTCCGCCACATCAGAGGCGTTTTTGTATTGATCTATGACAGTGACGACGAGAGCAGAATCGAAAATGCAAAAATGAGTTTCAGGTACTGTATGGTACCAGTGGCCCTCCTATGACTGTCACTCCCGTACAGGAGTATGCATACCTTTGTATGCATACAGGAGTGGCTAAGACAAGGGCAATTCAGAGTCATGTCTTGATAGAACATCATTTGGGAATAGGAATGTTGAGCATTGTTGGCATTGACAGGGGCATTTTAAAAAAAGGGGGAAACGAGCATTCTTCACTTGTAGTTCAATTCCTAACCGGCCACAACCATATCAGTGTCCTTCATCACGAGACCCACAGCAGCCATTGTCATGTAGCCACTGGACCAGTTCGCTGTCGTCGCATGTATACTTCTGGCAGCTGTAAATGTTGCTGCATTCCACGGACAACCGTTTTCACGAGCCCACTTCAACAATTTCACACACCCTGTGCAGCAGCATATTCACATGTCTCTTCATTCCATGGGCAACCATTTTCATGAGCCCACTTCAAAAGTTCCAAATGTCCACCTTCCACAGCCAATGCACATGTCTCTTCATTCAATGGACAACCATTTTCACGAGCTAAAACTTTTGTAAAAAGTCGTACGGTACGGTCAGCGGAGCTGTCAGGGGCCGGGGCGAGGTGCGCCAGCCGCACAGTTGCTCAATATGAATAAGGTTAAGGCTATCTAAAACCACGGTGCATGCACAGGAAGTCTCCCGACTCGGGACACGAGAAGGCGCCAAGGCGGTGAAAAGTGCCGACAGGTGCCCGAGCAGTACTGTACGGGTACGTGTAATCGTTGAGACCCTTGACTTTCCCTGGCACACTGCCGTCCTTTAGGACTGGCCAGTAGGACTTCGTCAGCTTCTTCTTGCTTCTTTTTTAAAGTAAGAGTAGACGTACGTACTGATGAGGAACTCAAGCCTCGCCCAAGTGCTGGGGCGGCACATGGACGATAATTCCAAAAGCCCCGTGATGTGCAAGTTTATCGTTTCCTCATGGGGAACACTTGTAACTGCCATTCGCTTTGCCGTTGCCTCATGGGCTTGTTCGCTTGCTCCTTTGGTTTGTTGCCGTTTGTTGTATGCAGGAGGTCATGGGGAACATCCCAGTACCATAGATGGCCGTTACTGGAACCTTCTAGCCAATGGTAGACTACCTGGTACCGGTAGCCTCGCCGTTGTCCCACGTAGTTGCACGTGAAAAGGAAGAGCTGGCTTCGGATTCGGTCAGGTAGATGTGGTAATGCAAAGTTTCATTTAATTTTTAAAAGTAAAATTTACCATTAACCCTTTATTTTCTTTAACTACCAATTTTCCAGGATTCGACTCCGCTCTCCGAAGGCCCAAAGAAGGGGGACGCTGACCGAACCAAGCAAAGAGAGACCCAACGAGGCTCCGCACCGGTTATCAAAAATTTCAGAGCTGGCAACTCCAAGTTTTTTGTCTCCACAATTTTGTAGGAGAGGAATCCGGGGCAGTACCGGATGACATTCCTTCCCCTAAATACGAGAGCTATTATGAAGGGTTTTCTACACGAGCCAATTTCATCATCACAAAATCGAAGCTGTCTTTGCTCAGGACACAAAGTAACGATCCATCACCTCTAATCCACATACTCAGGGGAAGTCTTCGTTGGCCTTGCTATCTTGCTGTCGGGCAAGAAAGGCGTGTGGATTGATTCATTATTTCGTTAGTTTGCTTTGGAATAACAGCAAGGGCCAAAGCGAGCAGTATCGTGGACCATGACAGATCTACCCCCTCTACTACGAACTTGCCAGGGCAAACACGGCGTTGCCGCTCCCCCGATCACCCACAAGCGGAAGTTCCACCAAGGAGAACATCAATGCCCTGATTCCCCTGTTCCTTCATTGGGTTCCGAGACGTCGCTGTCTGAGGAAGAGGATACCCTGCAACCCCAGAAACGCCAGAAGCGTGGCCCGTCGCGACGAAGAGTTTCCTTTGAGTTGGGTCCTTCTACCGACAAACTAAGCACGCGTCTCTCTGTCTATGATAAGTATGATGAAGAGCTGGCCGGTGACATTTGGTGGTCAAAGGGTGACCTCAGGGATATAATGAAGCGGGAAGGGCGTCTAGTATTGGAGCTCAAGATCAATCCGGTGGGTAGTGCAACCTGTGTGGCATCGTCCCTGAAAAGGTCCATCAATGATGTCTTTAAAAAGTGCGTTGATGCTCCAAGTGCAGTCCATCAAGACTGCCCAATCTTTGAGTTCATCAATGACAAGTCCTTGGGGAAGAAGAGCCAAGCACCGGGTACAACTCCCTCCAATCCAGGCCTTACCACAACACGAGGTTTGGAACGCTACGTCGCGCCCATTTTGGGGGCCCATCGCGAGATGGTCGTCAAGAGTCTCTTGACAACACAGCAACAATTGGCGGACCATGATCCCAATCTTCGAACACAGGTTCTGGGTGCTCGCTATCAACACATGTCCAAGGTTGCAACCAATTTTGCTATTGTCATGGCCCGTTGCGACGCCAAACTTGCGGCGTCCCTCTTGTAGGCTTTCATTGCAAATGACATGACAATGTCCTTGCGCGTTTCAGTTTCATGTTACCAAACTACACTCTTTCCTGTTTGTTGTGCCGACTACCCTATGCTTGCAATCACCTGCATCCGAGATACACATCTTTCCATGTTACCAATCTACACTCTTCCCTTTTTGTTGTGCCCACTATGCTTGCAATCACTTGCATCCGAGATACATCTATTCATCAGATAAGCATTCACATTATAGATACTATAGAATAACTCAATTTTTAATCATGCCTAACCTCCCCTGTGGCGACAAGTACTGTAGAAACCGTGCCGCTGCCACCGGACGACAAAAAGCGAAGCAATTGGGGTATCTCTATCGTCACCGGCACTTTGCTTCATGTACAGGTTTTCAGTTGCCAACAGAAGACATGCCTCCCTCCTGAAAGGAAGCATGTGCATTGAACACGGCCCAATGCGCGTAGCCAGGCTAATTGACTTATTTCTCTTAGAAGAACAGCTTGATTTTCCATAGAGCCAGAGCGGCTCCTGCCACAATACCCCCAAAGACTGGGCCCATGAATCCCAGCATCATATTGGGTGTCGTGCCTTGAGCCGGCGTATGACCCAAGAAATCCTTCATGAGCCCCAGCACTTGCGTTTCATTCCGGACGAGATGAGGTATTCTGACAATCCCACTTTGATGCTGGAACGGTGTTGCTGGGGGCGGCGCCCCAACCGTCATTGTGTTGTCGCAGGGTTCTCGTCCCTCGGGGCCGCACGTGGGAAACTGCACCGTATGATACTCCCATTCATCAAAGATATCTGGATGGGAAATGGCCAAGATTGCCACGATATCCCAGGGAATGAATCCTTTGTCCAGATTGACACTGGGCGACCAACGGCCGTCGCTTGGAAATCGTTTGGCTACTGCCTTGTTGACCAGCTTGGGCATGGCTGCTACTTGTTGATGCATTTTGGGTAGAATCCCACAGGCGGCGGCTGCTGGACGTTGATTGTTGTTGTTGTTGTGACAGTATTCTGCTGCAAATTGGTCGACAAAAAGTTGATCCATTACCACTTGGGCGCAGAGCTGAATGGGAATCATGGTAGTTGGTACATTGGCATCGACAATGGTCCGAGCGGCGGCTCGATCCGAAGCAAAATTCAAACACAATCTTTGTTGTGTCAATTCACCTCCCATTAAATAAACATGACCAATCCGGTCTGCCAGAGTTGGATCCTGTTCGAGTGCCTTGGCAAAGTTGGCGGGTGGACCCAATGTTACAATAATTAGATTTTCGACGTCATGAGAAGCCTTGATAATGGCGTCAACGGCGTCATTGGAGTCGTCAATGTCGGGTTGAATCCGGTTCAACCATTTGAGCCATCGACGGGACACTTGCATGGACTTCCAACCATAGCCCTTGTGGGGAACCAAAGACGAACCAGCATGTTGTAGTAACACTTGTGTGTCTTTCCACGTGTGCCGCAATGGAGCATTGCCACCACAGACACTTATCCCTTCCACATCGATCATACCCTGTGCTTCCAGTGAAAGCGCTGTGAGAATGGCCAAGTCATCGTCGCAATCGAGACCTGTCCACACAAACCCAGACGGGTCGGCATCGAGCCAAATCTTTGGCACTTTTATAGATTCATCATTGTCGGTAGCGGTATGAACTGCCTCCATGGCGACAAAAAAAGATATTTCGGATACCCTTGCTTGTGTTTGAATTTTTATAGGGACGACTTCATCGCCTTGTGAGACCAGTGGTAGAGCCAGGATCGAGTCAGACTAAAAGGACTGTATCAGCCCGAGCTAACTTACTTCTGATGTGCCAACAACAAACCGTGCGTTTCTCGAACCCAGCAATGTGGTCATTCGTGGAAGATTCACGGAAGCGAAAATCTCGCACGAATTGAAAGAATTGATAAAAGTGTACCTTGAAAAGATGACACCAACATAACTCTTGACGCGTCAGCGAGGGAGGCTGTGCTGCTCATACACTCATACTGCGCAGTATCAACGAAGTATATGACAGGAACTCCCAACTTCCAACCGCCTCCACAAGAGTTACATGCTGATGCATAGAGCTCTAGCTAGTAGAGTATCTCTGGTCAAATTCTAGTAGAGCAAGCTATAGCGAGCTATTTGGGTAGAATTTGCTTGCCTGTGCTTTGGTGCCAACGTCCTGTCATTCTTGTACCCAATGTGCCAGGAAATGGAGCTCCCCATACGCAGCGATGGCAGTAGCTGGAACTCGAGTTGCAGCCTCTTCTGTCTGAAAGTTATGCAACCTGAGCAGTCCGCTGTCATGCACTTGCTTGGTCCCAAGCATCCAGTTGTAAACTTACTTACTAGTACTCTAACTAGCTAGCTAGTACATGTACTTGAGGAAGAAGACGGCTCTGTTGTCTTATTATCTTTTGAATCGTTAGATCTATCTCTATCATCGCAATTCTTTTTTTCAAAACGTTTTTGACCAAACCATCAATTTCTCCCATTTTTGACACCTCTCCCTCCAAATCCAATCAGTCGACTGTCCACACAAAACACAAAGCAAGTTGTTGCCGTCTCAAAACCTCACTGTTACGCTTCCTACCGGTACTAGCTAGATCTACCGTAGCTTGCTTGCTAGCTAGCTAGACTCACACCGTTGCTTTGATTGTCTGACAGTGTCATCCATCACGAAGAAGAAGGAGAGACAGTAGTACTGTAGCGGTGTCATTTGCCGGAGTAGTCAGTCGGTGCAGAGGAGTTAGTAGATTGAATTCCGTCGCCATTGGCGTGTATCGTTAGTGAAAAGGATCGGATCTTGCCGTGCCGTGATTGATCAAGGAGTTGTGTCTTTGCTGCGCTTGAGACAATGGCTGGAAAGAAGAGAGCTCGAAAGCCCGCAGCGGCCAAAGGCAAGAGCAGGTAAGACACGTACTGTACGGATAGTAATGTCTGTCCAGCGTTGTTGGTCTGGATGGATGGAATGCCACGATGAAACGTGGACGACCGAAAAGACACTAGAAAATTGGGGTGACGGCTTGTAGAGGATGAAGCATCTCCAGTTGTGCTTGGAAGCGGCATTGATGGATCATGTTCTATTGTTGCATAGAGTTGACGGATTGCCTGCCAATGCATCGATCTTTTTTTCCTCATATTTTTCTCTGTTGGAATTGCGTTCTATTTCTTGTCGTTCATTCATTTCATTTCATTCAGTCAAGCCGCTGCCAAATCGAAACAAGGCGATCCATCAGCAGCAGCAGAAGACGCAACTACGACTACGGATTCCGAGTTGCCGTCGTCTCCGCTCCAAATTTTGCTGGAAGAATTGCGTCGCTTGGCATTGGATCCACAGACCTGTCAGAAATGCCTGCAGGCATTGGCCGAGGGAACCTCACCCGTCCTCAACCTTACCACGGCGGGAGCGGCCATTGTGACGACCAGCAGTGCGGCGGCTGCCAGTGCGAGTACAAACGAAACAGCCGCCTCAACGACTACAGCTACAGCCACTAGCACAGCATCTGCCACGACGACCACAGCTACAGCAGCGACTGGAAAAAAGAAAAAGCGCGCTCGATCCACCACACCCACGGCTGCCAACAACAAAGATGCCGACTCGGCCAATGCTACTACTACCACCACCACAACAACAACAACACCCGACAAGGTTGCCAAGGCGGGATATTGGATCTTTCTCGCCACGCACATGTTGAATCGATTAATGGCCCAGCTACAATCGGCCGACGATACCGTCCAATTGGCACAATTGCTATCGCTGTTGTCGTATCTATTGGCCCGCATTGTGTTGCCCGCGCCAAAACTGTTGGAAAAAGCATGTGCGAATCGAGCACGCAATTTGCTGGGACGGGCCATTCTCAGTATCACCGTGGCGGCGACTGCTTCGTTAGAACAAATGGCATGTCAGGATGGATTGGATGATGCCGATAGCATGTCATCGTTGTCATTGGCGTGTTGGATACCGGCTTCGTTGGCATTGGATATTGTCATTCGATTTTCGAGAGTCTGCCCGAAAGCATATGCGTCGTCGTTGGCGACCGCCGTGGCGTCGTCTCCGACGGCAGCGGCATTGTCACCGCTGGCGCAATCGTCCGAATCGAAAGCGCTGACGTTTTGGAATCAAACACAATCGCAGTTGGAAGCACATGCACTCAATATTTGGACCGTCTTTCAGACGGATCTTATTGATATTTGTCAGGAGGTCTCGCGGGATATCAAGGATATTGCCAAATGGGAAGAACCCTGCTTGATGGCACTCTTGGGGATGAATCTACCACCACCACAGACAGCTTCTTCTTCCACAAATACAAATAGTCCTGCTCCCGTGAAACGCAGCAACAGTCGGCGCAAATCCAGTCGAGCTAGTCCCGCGGCCGCCGAAACGACGACTGCCGAAACTGCCACATCGACGACAATTGTAGTGGTGTCGCCCTTGATTCGCAGCTTTCAGGCGCTGTTGGTCGTGGAAGATGACAAACCTGACACGCCAAAATCACCCAATGCCGCTGTGAATTCCACCAAAATTGATGGTCGCATTGCCGCCAAACGGTGGTCTTCCATGGCACTGGCGTGGTGTATACAAGGACAGAAACGGGTATTGGAATCATTGATCGCCATGTTGCGACGACGGTTGGAATGGCATGCCAACATGACGGCATTTGCCAATGAAGTCAAGGATGATGACGATGACAATAACAAAAGTATGCAAGTGCCCTCGAATGTCACGTTCTTGGCATTGGCCAGTCGCCTCGTGGGCATTGTATCGGAATCTCATGGACACAGTGGCACACGAGCTCCGTCGGGAGGATTGGAAGCGTATACAAAGAATATTGTTCCCACCACGTTGTCCGCGGCTACCGAGACACCGACTACGGGCAAAAAAGCATCCGGCAAGAAAGCATCCAAACCAGTCTTGCCGGATCTACGAAATGTGGCCACGGTCGTACTCTACAATCTACTCCAGGCGCACGAAGATTGTTTGCAAGTGAATCATCATCAGAATCATGCATTATTGCTCGTCAATGACGACGAGGAAGTGCCATCCGACGACGCTTCGGACGAACTCCCACGACCACCTCCGCCCAAAAAGGGCGCCAAAAAAGCTGACAACGAACAGGAGGAGGAAGTACTTGGTTTTATCCCTGTCATGCGACATGTGATTGAAGGTCTTTGTCGAGCTGCAGCTGGGACGGCTACTCCTGTGGCGGGAAGCACAGCGGCATCGGCGTTGGCAGAACAGGCTCAGTGCATGGAGCGAATGCAGAAAATCGCAGCAGCCTTTGTGTTGCAGACTATTCGTGATGATGCCATGTCGGCGACGGCCGTGGATGGGACTCCGGATGCACTCGATGAACCCGTGCAGCGCAAAAAAAGACCCATGGACGTCCCTTTGATCCAATACGCTCTGTCCCAGTTTGTGGAATCTCTGGATAAACACAACAACAATAACAGCAATAGGACGGAAGAAGGAGCCAACAGCAACAAATCGGCTGAATCCATTAAACAATTGTCGGAGCCAATCCCAGTACCGCAAATGCCCTCTGCGCCGTCCGCTGTTGCTCCAGCTCGCAGACGAAGCAGCAAGGCAGGTGGTGACTCATCCCCTGCGTCGCCACCGGCGTGCACGTTTGCTGGTGTTTTGGCTTCCAACAAAGAGGAAGATTCGTTGGTGCTCGTGCTTCGAGCGGTTGTGGCACCGGTCGCAGGTGGAAAGGGCAAGCGAGCGGAACAGAGGCGCAAACAAACCAAACGTGGAGGTCGAGCCCCCAAGGATGAACCGCAGCAGGAAGCTCCAATCAGCAACTTGTATACCATGTTGCTGGGGATTGTGGAGCGCTGTTACGGAAGCGAAACTCTGGCTGAAGTCTCTTCTGCCGCTTCCCCAGAGAAGAGTGGAGGACAGCAGAAGAAACGAGCCAACTCGAGCGGAAAAGGGCCAGCCCGAAAGAAGCGCAAAAATAGTGATGGCTCAGCGGAGGAGACTGTCAATGACGAAGAGGACATCGATACGAATAAGAGGTGCGCCGTGGCTTAACAAAATGCCTGTGCAGTGTCATGATGATTGATTCTTTGCTCACAATAATACTTTCTGTTTCTTTTGTACGTTTGCACAGACGACCATTGAATGCTCAACGAGCCGCGTTAGCGGAAGAAGTCAATAATCTGCTGGCAAAATGCATAACTGTCGCCATCACGAGCGATGAAGACGCTCGCTCTTTGCGACAGTTCGTGAAGATTGGAATGACGAAGGATCACATTCTGCACATCATCGAGCTTACTCAAGCACTGGACAATCATGTCATGATCCCTAGGACTGCTTATTCTTTGAATGAACAGATGATGGACCCAAATACCGTGATCGAGCCGCCAGCGAGTAGCCTGGAACCTGCTGTCTACGAAGCGCCAAACTTTGCATCCTATGAAACAAATGTATGGTAAGTCAAACATGTAGGCGGTTGAAAACCATTGAGCCCTTGCTTTCGCTGTCGTTGGTTCACAATGTTCCTTTCTCTTTGTGATTGTTTCAGGATGTCACAATTGAAGCTCTGCAAAGCAATCGGACGGACTCAGGACGACTCGGGTGAAGAACAATTGATTACTTTCTCGAACAGGGTAGACGTATACAGAAAAATTGTGGCAGTCAGCAAGGGAACGAACGATGATGAGGATTGGCCGCTGTGGATCTCGCCTGCGTTTCGAGCAATAATATCATTTGAAATTTCGGAGCCCAAACTGATCTCTTACGATTCGCCATCAGATCGCTTCATTGCGTTTGGTTGTATGAAGTCAATATTCAAGGCGATGGATGACTTGGAATCTTACTGCAACGGCCGCGGAGGCTACACTGGGAATGATAGATCCATCGTCGACTACGAAATACCTTTGGGTCTTCAAGACACCCGGATATTCCTTGTTGCGGCCGGTCGCCTTCCTCCCACTGCAAAGAACCAGCTCTTGTCGCAGCTTCTTGAATCTGTTCGAAAACGCATCAAAAAGATTGCAGAGAAAGAACTGGAGGAGGTTTGCGAGAGTAACGAAGTGGCCGGTTTCATTGCCCGGGTTGTCACTATCTGCTCTTACCTCACAATCTTGGTGGCGTACCCTGAGCTCCACCCCCGACTCAGCGACATTGTCCGGCACAACAACCAATATTCGGAAGTTCTCAACTTTGCTAGCGAGGGCGATTGGTACCGAAGCGAACGAAGTTTCATGGGAGTTTTCTCAGACTGGGAGTCGCCACGGGTACCTCTTACCGAAGTGAGTGAAGGAAAGGGCGTGAGTGCTTCGGCTGCAAAGGATATGAAGGACATTTTGGAGCAGTGCTTTGAGTTGGGATTCAAAACTGCCAGAGTTGACCGTGGACAACTTATCTTCGCTGCCTGGAATGCCATGGGCAACATGCCTCTTTGGGATACTCAACAACGAGGCGACAGATCCAAGAGCAGTACCTTGGAAAGCGCGCTCGCTTCATTTGACGCTATGACTAAGGACAAGATGAACACTGAGATGCCGAAGATCATTTCCAGGATCCGAGAAGATATGTGTCGGCTCTACATGGACATGCATGTGTACAACGGGTATTCGGGTATTCTTCCTCTGCCATTGAAGCTCATACAAGCGAAGGATAGAAGCGCGACAACCTCGGCCCAGCTGAAGAAGGGCTTGAAGTCCTTCGTCACATCGGGTGAAACACTTCTTGCTTCCTTGCTCAAGATTGACGAGACATCCCCTGCCCTCTTTGCCTCCCTCGAAGCGGCCGCTGTCTACATTACTTTCGCAGTTGCATCACATACCAAGCCAGGGAGCGACATTTTCTCCTCGTCAGCTTTGTGCCCGAGTAGGAGAAAGAGACCGCGTGGCTACTCTTCGGACAGTGAAAGGGATCCTATAGACTTGGATTCTGTGGATTCGGATGACGAAGAAAACGATCCCGGAGCAAGGTTGCGTGAAAAGCTTCGAACTGCTTGTTCTAATTTTGGAGCAGCACCAACCCATCCAGACTGGCTCGACGAGAAATGCCGACTTCAGTTTGGGGTGGGAACCAGCGAGGCCCTGGAAAATGCTCAATCGGCAGTCAAGGCGCTTTCAGGCCTCCTTGCGTCTGCGTTGAGCCGCCAAAAGCTTGCACTGCAAGAAGCTGTAGACGCACTTCGCAAGAAACAGAAAACAATGTTTGACAAAGACCAAGCACTGTTGGCAAGGAAGATCGTGGTTCTCTTGACTCGCTTTGAAATAATTTCTCAATACCCAGGTTCCTACTTGAGCTCCCAAAATGTCGTTGATTTCGAGCAGAGACGGGATGTCATTGCTTCGCTTTGCGATTTCGGCGTCGATTCGGCTGATCCCTTCAGTTCCGTGGGTGCATCAGAGAACTTTGACGAAGCGAAGTCAGCGTGGTGCCCCAATGCAGCCCAGAGGATTCCGGGGAGATTTCAAGAAACAAACGACGACAACCAAGACAGTTGGATAAGTGGAACAGTGGATACGTCCATCATGACCTCGGAGCTTCGTGTGAATAGGCAGTGGGAGGTTCTTCTTGGAACAACATTGGTTTCATCGTGTCGAGACAACGCATCGGAAGATTCTGGACCGGAGGAAATTCACAAGATGATCTTGGATGCAGAGAATTGGCTTGGAATTTGTGAGACCGCGATCAGTTGCCTCATGCCTGCAACTGCTTTGTTGAGGTTTGGCATGGCGAGAGGGGGGAGAAAGACCCACCCCTTGGCCAAGGAGGACGCGACAATTGATCAACGAGGGATATTTTCTCATTTCGATATTGTTGAGCGACAACCCATGAACACAACCGCATCAAAGTCCCTCCGTGACTTGCTTTCGGAGACCCTAGCCTTATTGGCGCGATTCACTGCTCAGTGTTCTGGTGACATGGCAGTCAGTCTCTCATGTCACGCTGTTGCTTCGAACTTGCTGGTAGACGCTCGATCTTTCGAGCATGTGCGAGGATTCGAAGTGCTCCGATTTGCCATCACGATTGTAACCGAAATGCAAGAAGCCAACTGGGACATTACTGAGAAAGGAAACGAAGATTTCGCCATGTCCTCCGCATTCTTTCTGGAGCGTCTTGCTTCTGTAATCGAATTTTGGAGCAACGAAGAGGGACCAGTGGATGGACAGCAGTCTCGTGACAGCAGCCGCCTCTTGGCCTTCCTGTGCAATCCGAAGCGCTACAAGGTGGATACACTTGCCGAAAGTGGAGTTGAAGTTTCATCGATGTTGTCGCTACTGGATAAGAAAGGGTATGACAAGGACACAATGTCCCCACACGAGACGAAGTGGAGATGGCACGACAAATTTCACGAGCGCCCAATCGAGAACTTGGTTTCTATCGTGGTCACTGGGAAAGCTCATGCTGATATTCAGACAAGAACATGCTTGGCAATGATAGTATCGCGCCTCGCCTTCCTCGAATACGAAAAGCTGCGCGCTGGGACTCAGTGCGATTTTCCCATTGTCAAATCACTTGTGAAAGTGTTCAACTCTCTCCCCGAATCTGATCTTACCAAACTTTTGTCTACGCTCGTTGAGGTGGACAATGACTCCAAAGACGGATCCTTTCAACAGGAAATCTGCACCCTTTTGGCATATTTGCTGTGTGCTCAGTCGAGTCGACAGGTCCAGTTCTCAAGGGTTGGACTTGTCTTTGACACTCTGTTGTCAGCATCTGGGAAATGGCTGTCCCTCAACTCGAAAGCACGTGACAGCCTTCTGGAGGTCCTCCTTCTGTTTGGAAGCTGCAACAATAGTCTACCAAGAATCGGATCACTCCTTCTGGATGATGTACCAATGGACACTGGGGAGGGCGACGGCGACGGGAAAGCCATGGACAATCTCGAGTCCGTCACCAAATTCTTTCGGTATCTGCAGGAAATGCAGTCAGCCCTCACTCGGAAAGGAAAAGGTCAGGACTCCCCCACTTCTGCAGCATCTGCAACGGGCTCGGAGACCCTGGCAACCTCAATAAGCGCGCCGAAAAGTGACGCGAAAGGATTGAAGCCCCCTCCGCAATCTTGTTCCTATGCGCTCAAAAGTGGTTTTCATGGGCAGCACTGGTACAACTGCTACACTTGTGGGCTTACTTGGGATAAGGGGTGCTGTTCGCTGTGCGCATTGACCTGTCATGATGGCCACGATGTTAGCTACTCCAGGTACTCTTCCTTCTTTTGCGACTGTGGGGCCGAAGATGGCGGAGACAGCGATATTTCCAGAGTATCTTGCAAGTGCCTCTCCACCCTCCCGAGAAGCCGCGTGCAGAAGCTGTTCGAGACGGAAGGGTGGCCAATTGAACCAATGCAAGCGGTCGGGGCGGCCAAAGTTGACAACAAAGACGTGTCAAGCCAATCCAGCGATATCGACACTGAAAAGTTCTACATTGAGCTAACACGGGTATCCTTTCCAAAGAAGGCTCAAGAATCTGTCAACAAGTTGATGATGGAAGCGAAGAAGAATGGATGGCTAGAAAGATTGTTTGAGCTTCTGCGGCAGAGATTCAGTGCATGGAGCTCCAGCTCAGGCAACACTGCATCTCTTGAAGAGGCATTAGTCGAAGAATATGAGCCCATTGAATGCGAGAGATACGAGTTTCTTCGCCAGTCGCTTCAACGGCGCATTGGGAAAGTCCTGGCCATCACAGCGTTGGCTGAAAAGAGCATTATTCCTATCAGAGCAGCAAAGTCCAACTCATTCCAAGTCAAGTTCACTGGGAGCACTAGTGAGCGGCTGAAAAGGTCCAAAAACGAGATCAGCAGAGCTGCTGTCGTGGCAGATTGCCGTGGCCGTCTTGTCATCGCCGAACCATGTTCATTGCTGTTTTGCAGTGCAGCCTCAGCTGTGAACGTCCGTCATCTAACAGAATCGTCGGACCTCCTGCTCTCAAGGTCCTCTATGTGCATTCTCGGCTCGACCGCAACAAAGTTCAATATTGTTGGAATGATGCTCTGCCCTGAAAACGATCGCCATTTGATGGTTTGGGGAACTTCCGAAGCCTGTGTTGCCTTGCTCAAGGATTCGCACAATGGAGTCGCACGCCAGATTTCTCTTTCCCTTGACCTGGACCCAACAGAATGCGAGACAGATTACATTGTCAAGTGTGCGTGGGTGCCGGGCTCGCAATCTTGTGTAGCCATTGGTTGCGGTCGGTTTGTGTCTATATTTGATATTTCCCGAGCCGACAAGGACAATCGCGCTCTTCCAGTCATAAGCTTTGGACTCGGCTTTGATGCAAATCTTCGGGACATGGCGGTAACACCAGCATACTCCCTGAATTTGTCGATGCCACTGGGGTCGAGGTCGAACATTGGCGCAAGACCAGCATCAGCTGCGAGCCTCTTCATCATGCTGGAGAGTGGGAAGCTCTACAGTGTGGATTTGGAGTACGACAACGATGGAAAGCTCTCTGCTCGTGGGGACCATCAGTTTGAATCAAGTGATTCTACTGCCCTTCCCATTGCTGGAGCACGAGCCTACCAGTCAGCTGCAATTGGACTGCCGGGATCGCATTCTCAGAGCTTGGGAGACGGGTCTAGTATCGCATACCTGGCCCAATCTCACTTGCTACTCTACAAGTGCACTTCCTCTTGTGTTCTGGCGCTGACCCTTGGAATGTCTGGGAAAATCAATGGTAGCTTTGAATTGTTGCCCCACACCATTTCCGCAGAAACACTGGGTACGGGGCCAAATGGATACAGCATCGGTGGCCCATACACTCATTGGACTGAGCTGGGGCAAGCACAGTACGAAGATGGCAGCCAGTACTTTCGTGTAGCATGTGTGGGGCGCTCGTGGAGAACAAACCAACCAAAGCTCCTGTGTGTTGAATTCAATGAAGTGGATGTGAAGGTTCGAGAAGTTGCGTGGGATTCCGACTCTATTGGACTTGGACTAAGTCTGTACTCGTCATTCGAGGGGCTTTGTGCTTTCTCGATGCCTTACCGTGTCGAAGATGCAGCCAATCCAGACGCTGAGGATGGCTCCCGCTTTGCAGAAAGAGCTTTTCTGTGTGCCGTGACATCGAACGGCTGCATGCTTTTGTATGGGGAGGAGGTTGGCATGTCATTGTCAAACACTGACGGAAAGGATGAAAAGCCAGCCAAAGAAAGCCCCCCAAAGGGCAAAGACGGCATCATGCCGTTTGTGCGCGATCGGTCGATTCTGTCAACCCACCCAATCACAATATTCGAACGGCTCAAAAATCTTTCGGAAGATGGTGATGAGATCGTGTACGGAGGAGATGGTCTAGGGAGGTGAGTGAAGAACATAATCATTGCGCGTCGGGCCATGCGGTTGTCTCATCTTCTTTTTGTTTCATCGGTTTATAGTGACTCCAAGGAACTGAAGAGGAAGCTTTCGAGAGACAACAGTGTGTTTTTGATGAGTCCACGAAGGGAAGGATTCACACTAACGGTTACATTCAAAACCGCCGAGAACTCGGAGTCGTCGTCGTCATCCGAGCAGTCTAAAGCTACCAAGCAGAACGATCTGGCCTTTGCGGCTGTAAGGTTCCAAGTTGGGTCCACGTCCTCTGATTGCATTCCCAAGAAAGTGTTCGTCCAAGGGAGACCAGTTGAAGTCCAGTCGGCCATGAAAAAGTGGTACTCGGTTTCTTTGTCTGACGAAGAGGTGGCACTGACCGCTCGAACTGGAGTCCTTGCCATTGGAATCTCGCAAGCCCACGATGCAGGTAGCAGCCCTCTCATCGATGCACTCGAAGTCTACGCATATGACAAGCGCGAAATCGAGATGTGGTTGCCGAAGGTCTTGGCCACTGATGCAACCAAAGCTTCCACAGTCGACAACAGCGAAACTGATGATAGCGTAGTGGCCAAAGCAATGGTTTTGGCATCACATGCGATCGAGTCGCATTGCGCTCTTCTTGGTCAGGCGCCATCATTGCCAGCCACAGAAAGCGATCTTCTGAAGCGAATTGTTCAGCAAACCGCGGTTAACCGCAACAAACCAATTCGCGAATCTGTGGATAAATTGCTTTCAAGGCTCTATCCTAGCCCACAGGCAAGAAACTCTGTCAAGGACGAGGGAGCACTGCAAGGTTGTTCCTTGTTACTCAGCCGCTGCCAGGTGCTGCTCGAGGCTACAAAGGCAGCTGATGGAAGTGGTTCACAGTCTTCCATCGGTTTCGATAATGTCTGGTTCACAATCAGAGCTCTATTGCGGAGCTGCCTACGCACATCGTCGCTAATCGCACGATGCCGACCCATCAACTATTTGAGGGCGTCAGATTTGATAGCAGAGAACAAGATCTCTTCTGGGTCGATTGCAGTGGACTCCAGCAAACTCATCTGCGAAGGAATCACTAGAGGGCTGCCATGCGAGGATCTTTGCGAACTCTTTGTCGAGTTGTCTCTGGCAGAAAGTGCAATTGCGGACAGTACCGCGACAGATCAAGGAAAGAACCTTGCCAGCTTCATCATTGTACAAAAACTAATGGAGTCGGATAACTTGGCTGTAGTGGAGAGGTCCTGCCACGCGATATCTTCCTTTTGTCGGATGTATGGGTCTTCAGACCAGCCGCGTGGGGATCCTTCAAGCAACTTGTTTGCAGCTCTTCGCACTGCCAGACTGGTTTGCTATCAGTGCGATAACTGTGAAACAGGTGCGACGTGTCGTTTTGAGTCCATTGTATCTGCATGTGCCCGCATAGCTCATCTTTTGTCTCTTCTGCAACACAATAATCGATCAGTCCCGATCAAGAGTGTTCGCTACACACTGCTCGAGGACGATCACGATGTTGACCTCTGTAAGGATTGCTATCGGTTGGGATGCGAGTATGCGGATTCCAAAAACGACAGTGCCGATGAAAAGGTGGTAATCAATGGAAAGGTAAGTCAGGATATGCGAATGTCTCAGAATGTCCCAGATGCGCCTGATGCCACCGCCTCACGACTTGATGTGACTCGACTCGAATCGCAGGTGATCAACATCACTTGCGCCTTGATCAAGGCAATGCAGCCAGTTCCGATCGTCAAGGCAGATGTAACCGAAGTAATGGATGTTCAATCTGGTTCTGGGAGTACCGCTCAATTCGACGACGCTGCAGATGAAAACGAGGAGCTTCAAAGAGCTCTCCGTCTCAGTCTTGGCAATGCCGCAGATGACGATACAGTGCAGGTTAGCCATAAGGCGGATCAGTCACTGGAAGGTTTTGTCGACAGCATCTTCTCGAGTGTGTTGGGTCTTTTTACGAATGCCTTGGTTGCCAGCAAGGGAGAAACAAGTCTTGCATTAATTCTCAGTCTTTTGGTAGATCTTGTCCACCATTCCAACGAACAAGGAGGAAAGTTGACACGGGCCAAGAAGTTAGCAGGGGAGGTTTTGAAAGGAGTGTCGCGCTTTGTTGCGCTGGACAGAAAAGAGTTTCAACGCACAGGAAGGCCAACTTTGATTCTGTGCTTGAGGGCCCTGGCGTATCTCCTTGTCCCTGAAATCATCGATGGCGACTCCCAACCAAGTTCTCCACAAGCTGCTACCAGCAGTGATGCCGGCAAGGCAGGTCAGTCAAAGACAAAATCTGAATCCAAACAAGTCGTCTGCGATGTGCACGGTATTCCAGCTGCGAGGAGACGGTGTGCACGTGGGGAGCACAAAGATCGCCGCTTCTATGTCTGTGGTTTGGAACGGCCCTTGAGATGTAAATTTTTCATGTGGGTAGACCAAGTTGGGGAAAAACCCGCGGCGAAACCAAAGAGGGCAAAATCAAAGTATGAACAAGAACTGGTGGACACGCTTTGGCGGCTTTTCAGTTCGACCAGTACATCCTCGAGCATGCTGCATCTGGAGCTTTGTACTCTCCTGGAGAACATCCTTGACAACTGGAAATCAAGTTCTGGTAGCATGGACCAAGGTGGAGCAGATGGAAAGGACGAGTTTCTCAAGATTATCTCAAGATATGATAGGAAGAAGGCTCAGTCGGATTTGTTAAACGGTGTATTCTGCAGCCGTGAAAAGTTACATGATTTTTCAGCCGACGCGGTATTGCAGGCGACTGCAGATGACGCTTCAAATCCGAGCATTACGTCTATTGCCACTTCTTTCCGCTTGGATGGTGATATGGAAATGATCGAGGCTTCTTTGGAGCTTCTTGCGTTGATTGCCAACCACGAGACGGAAGGCATCTCTCGATGGTTCTGCATCTTGTGTGAGATTATTGGGTCACCGAACAAGTCGTCCAAAATTACCTCTTTGGCAAAGCGTGTTCTCAAGCAGCTCTGCGGCGGCAAGAAGGACCTCTACCATTCTGTACGAGATCACTACGTCTTTGGCTTCCAGATCAAGATGCTTCTACAGAAAACTCAGACTGTGCTGAAAACGTGTCTGCTAGTAAGGGAAAAGGCCAGGCAGAGCGGCCCCAATTGGAAGCATGGATCAGTAGTTGGCTGGGATCAGCTGAAAGCCGGGGGCTTGATTGGAACCGAGTTACTTGTGTCTGAAGATTTCACAAATTTGAACACGGATATCACAACTGGTGAAATCCTCGATGATCTGTGGAACGTGGCCAAAAGCCGTGTTGAAAATTGGCGGCGCTTTTGTGGTCTGGACGCACTCCCGGATAAGTCAACGGCCATTGGAACTGATGATGGTATCCTCGGTACTTTCGTGGCCCCTGCTCCTATCATTTCTCTTCTTTGGATCGCCTGTGGAGTCGGTCCAAGCCAGCTGAAGGTCCTGAAACTCATTGATTTGGCTCTTTCAGGCGGTAATGGCAAAGACATAAAGAAGGCTCTCTTGAAGCCCACGGGAACTACAAGTAGTTCGGAAGAGGAAGTACCGGCCGATCCTTCATCCAAGGCAACTGCTGGATGGCTGAAGGGTGAAACGAGATCGCCCGAAGAGATGATTTTGGATAGCGATCGAAGCTGGGATGCTGGTGATGTATACGGTTTTCTGATGCAATTTGCGTACAAAGGTCGGACTGCGGAAGTTCGCAAGGTCGCTTGTTCAATTGGAACCAAGCTTTTGAAGAAAATGAATCCCGCCGATGTGTCCGCGTTGCTGGGGCAGCTCCTTGGCGATCCCTTAGGCGACGCTGGAATGCTCGGCAAGAGCAGCGTTGAGATGCTGAACGTCATTCAATCCCAGCTCCGTGTCGGCGCAAAGCTCACTATTGACGTAAAACATTCAGCGGAAGTCGTTTTGCATCATTTTAAGCAACAATTCATGGCAATCAAACACGACAGAGCCAACGGGGAATACGTGTGCATTGAGTCTAGCTCTGGCACATCCAAGAAACGGTTTGATCTTGCAAAGTGTACCCATTGTCATTGGACCAATACGTCACATCATTCGAAGGATTCTTCCTCCTCTCGCAGCACACCTAGTCGGACATCACGTTCGTCGAGCTCTTCTGGGAACGAGAATTCGAACAGCGCAACATCATCATCAAGCAGCGCGAAACGCGAGTGGCTCCCAGAACAAGTTAGCCCGTTTTCCCGAGGTCGGCTTGACTCCAGCAAAGAAACAACAACCAACGATGCCTTTTGCTCTTACCGTCAGTTGAAGTATCGCTTGGCTCTGTCAGAGATCTACGTCAACGTCAGCGATCCCCGCGGGCGGTTTGTGAAGACGATCACTGTACACTTCACTCCTCGTCCGGTGGATGATGTTCAAGTCTTGAAATCTGATGAGTATTCGTCTAAATGGCAACGCTGTGCCACGCTCAATTTGACCCGTGGTGCCAGCCGTGCAACTTGCAGCCTTGCCATCCCTGTGGTTGCAGCCAACTTGAAAATTGAATTCACTGATTTCTACGAACGTCCAGGTGGTTCCAAAGCAGCAGACGGCAGCTTCCTCGTCCATTGTCCTCGTTGCACCCGCGTTGTGAACAATGCACATGGGGTCTGGTGAGTCGGCAAATATGTTTTTGTGCAGGTCCTATCTATTATGCCCATGATGGCCGACATTCTCACTCTTTTTTTCGCTTCAACCTCCAGTGGCAATTGCGGGGAAGTCGCCTTTCAATGTCGAAAATGCAGGCACATCAATTACGACCAGCTGCAGTCATTCCTGTGCGTTGAATGCGGGTTTTGTTCGGCTGGAAGTTTCTCATTTGACCTTGTGGCTGGGGTTGCCTCGAACGCTGTGGCCATTACCAATGACGACAATTATGAAAAGTCTCTGAGGATGTACAACACGGCCACCCGTCTTCATGAAGATCTACGAGAAGCATTGAGAGAAAAACTTCGTGTTGTGGTTCAGCTGAAGAAGTCGTCCAAGGAATCACTTGACCCTACAACCGGTAGTCCCAGAAACCAAAACTCATTCTTGCTCAGTCCTGGCTTGAGGCGAGCGTTCCAAGGCCAAGAGCCAGCATTGCAGTCTGTCTCGGCAACTGCCGGGCTTGGAACCGAAATCCTTCTGGATCGTGCTGGAAAGAAGGGATGGGCTGTAAAAATGACTGCCATGCCCAGCTCCTTGGCAATCAGCCTGCCGTTGGCACCTACAGCAGCAGGGAGCGCCGACAGAACTCGTTCGCTGCTTCGATTGGCTCGCCAGATGAGGACCGACAGTGGCACTGCCGCAGAAAGACGACGTTCGGGTGATGTTATTATCAGGCAGCTGGGGCGTGGGGCCTCTGCCCTTGAAGGAGTCGACGAAGAGAGTGATCTGCTCAGTCTCCTTGAGAATCCTGGTGGCGCCTTGAGTGGAATTAGCAGCATTGCAGGGGGCGGGGCTGCCGCCGCAGCCAGCCTGTTGGACTCGTCTGACCCTCTCTCCAGATTGCTCGCGAGTTTTCAAACAACCAGAACGAGTGCAATCACGAGCACCAGTGCTAGTCGGGCTCGAGCCAGCAGCAGTAGTGGGCGGGCTCAAGCTTCTGCATCTGGCAGTGCGCCTGGAGTGACCAGAGCCACACGAAGATCTGGAGCTTCTGGTACCGCCGCTTCTTCCTCCGCCACTGCAACTGCCTCTGGCTCTAGCAGCAGCCGTAAAGAACAAAAAGATACGGTGAAAGAAGCTTTGGAGGAATGCGAGAAATTGCATGCTCTGATGCGAGAGGCCGAACGGGAAGCCTTTGAACTTCACAGACGCGTCGAGGCATGGAAGCGGCTCGAACGAGATGAAGTGGCAGATCGAGGCGGAGTGATCTCTGCGACGGAAGGTGGCGAGGTCGAAGCGCATGCCCCCAGATTGACTCGGGCGTTCTGTCCGTCACATTGTTCTGTGTGCAGCAGCCCTGTGGCGGTGCAACTGTTGGTGATTTGGCTTCGCCTTTTCCAAGCAGACCCGTCCAAAGTTGTCGTAACACAAGAGTATATTGAACTCTTGTTGGAGGAAAACATTCATTTGAGCAAGGGCTTGATGGACTTGAAACGTTCCGTCTTGAGGGAGATTGCTGTGAAAGCTCCAGCGTCCACATCTCGTTTGGTGCTGGACGAGTTATCGAGACGCCTGCGAAACGCACGGGATGTCACCAGTGCAGAGATTTTGGGCAAAATCATTTCGGAAGAAAGCGGCGGTCCGAATGGCGAGTTTGCGTTGGCCCAAGAATATGTTGACCTGGCTCTTAACGTCTTGAAGCACGAGACTATTTACTAATAATACATATTAGAAGAGCCATTAGAAGTCTGTTGGCTACCGGTACCGTAGCTGGTATCTAGCTAGGAACCAATGAGCAGTACGGCACCGTACTTACCCCGACACTTTTTCTTCTCCTTTGCCGCCTGCTGATGTTTCTTGAGCGATTGGAACTGCTCGCTACCGATACCGATACAACACCCCACTGACACCAAGAGACAATCCCCTCTCAAGTGGGGATGCCCCCCTTGAAGAAACTTCGTCTCAGCAAAAACTCACTAACAGGGGCTCTGCCACTAGAATTATCCCACATGGGTTCTTTTGAGTTTCTAGAGTTTGATAAAAAATGATGTGAGTTGTTGCCCTCCTGATTTTTCACAATCAGCCCAAAAGTGAAGAATCTGACCTTTGGCCTCATTTTGCAAACTTTCCTTCTCCTGAAGCTCAGGGGCACCCTTCCAAGTGAAATTGGATTGCTAACGCACCTGCAACCTATCAAGACGTGAACAAGCTGCTTGTACGAGTCCCATAGATTTCTCGGTTGCTCCTGGGGAACGTCGACAGCCACCTTGCTCGGAATCTCTTCCAATATAGCTGGCCACATCGGACACCGTAGTCAAGGCCAGTCGTTGCAACCCTTTCCTTAGGCTGTTCTGGTGGATAGCTTCGGAAGCCATCTCCATCCACTGCTACCGTAGCAAAAGTTCTCTTCGGATCTTTAGAAGCTGCTGCGATGCTGGTGCTTCTGTAATCGGAGCTCAGTCGGTGCAACCCTTGCGCTAGCTGGCTGGCCAGCTGTTGTCGCGGTTACACCGTAAAGGTGGCGCTCGGCGTAATCGGAGATCAGTCTGGTGAAGGCTTTCCCAAATCCAAAGCTCTCCTTTCAGCTCCTATGAACATCAAAGGGCAAGTCACCATAAGGCATTATTAAATTTTTGTGTTCATAGGTGTACCAATGTATTATGTTCAAATTGAAGGTAATCATGAAGATTGTCAGTAAGGGAAAGTAATCAATAGTAGTAAGGAAAGGTGCAGATACTTGAGGAAAGGAATCAATAAGTCAAAAAGTCTTGGAAGGCTGCCGCTTTCGGCGAACCAAGTTCTTCAGGTAGCAAGCGAAACAGCTGCATGGTCGGTCGGTGGTATCAAGTTTTGGGGGAAGCAGCGTTGTTTGTTGACGGCCACCCTGAACTTTGTTGGATCTTTAGGGCTACCGGTAGTACTGCTATGCTTGTTTTTTGTTGTTGGTTAATAGATTGGTTGTTAGGTAGCTTATGATTTTTGTTGTAGATAGTCGTTATTAATGGCTGTGCAGATAGTATTATGAGACAAACAGATGGCTGGTTTTATTCAAAGTTCGAAGTCATTAGCGACGAAACTTTCAAAGAGTAGGCGTTGCTTTTCCAAAAGGTCCGTGAGAGCGTTGGAGGAAACCTTTTGGGGTACTCTGGGGCTACCAGCCTCAGCCTTGGCTGGAGGAAACTCTTCAGTGACGGAGAAGATATCCTCATCGTCAGCGTTATCAATTGGATGGAACTTGTTCATTCCCAAGCATGCTTCTAGATGCGTGGTTTCCTGTTCATCAAATTGGATCTTGACATCGTCGCCGTCGGCAGGAAGTTGGAGCGGTTCTGCGTCGTAGCAGCTTTCTTGTTGGGTCCAACTGATGCGTCGGATCGCTGGATCAGAGCAGTTGCTCATGTTGGTGGGGAATGGCTGCTGCTGATGCATAGCAAAAGGCTGCTGTTGGAGGTTGAAGAAATTGTTTTCGGAAGAGAGGAAAGACTGATGTTGGGCGAAAACAGGAGTCTGGATAGTAGGCCAGCTGCGCGATCGTTGAGGCTTGGTGTTGAGAGGCTTGGAAGGAAGAGGGTTGACCGAGATGCTACGCTTCATGAGTTTTTTGTCTTGTTGTTGGAGCTTTTTGCGGAGTTTAGGAGCTCCTTCGCGAAGGGCCTGAGCGGTCTTCTCATTGGCTTTCTGGTCACCAATCTCGAACCAGCGGCCTCGGCCATCCTTTTGCAAGAAGCGACCAGGAGGAGAAAGGTTGCGGACGGCGAAGACAATGCTCTCGGTCAAGTACATCTTCTCGTGTTTCTTTAGGGAAACATACTCTTCCTGCTTGTCCTTAATCAACTCCCTCCATCGCAGATTTCCAATGTGCTTGAGCACACCGGCTCCTCGTCCGCAGAGCACATCGTGAGGATGAGGTTGCATGATATCGCGTAGTTGTTGGTTGTAAGTGTTCTTCATCTTTTGGTTTTGTGGGGTGGTTGTTGGTTTTGTTGTTGTTGTTGTTGAAATTGTGAGTTCAATTTTGTGAGAGGACAAAAACATCCTTTCAGCAGCTCTTTCAGCCATCAAGAAATCGAGCAACCCGTTGGAAGCAAGCTATAGTCAAACTGTACAGCTCTGTACTTAGGAGGAGCTATCTGTTTTTACAGTGAGTGCCGAGATTTTGTCCACGGCTCATCGGACTGCCAACGTCGCGCTGAGACCAGTTGGCCCAGCGTTAACCGGCATGGGTAATACGCAATTTGCCTTGAAAATTAGTCGGACCCCATGCTGGGGGGTGATGGGACAAAACACACTTCGGAAAAATGCTTCCTTTCGAGCCAGAGTTCAACATCCCTGAATGTCTTCAGTATGATGAGTTGTCAAATTCATAGGAGCACACGTTCTGCATCTCTTTCCATTCATATCCACACAAGTCAAGCCGAGTCTGGGCTTGGCACTCTACAATTTTCTGTAGTCGGATGTAAATCTCTGGCGACCTCAACTCATCATCAATTCTGGCACCTCAGCACCCTCCGCGTCCACTTCTTGCTTTTGTTTAAAGCGCTATTCTCCAAGGAACCATGTGCTTGCAACAAACAACTGCGCTTTCTAATCGTAATAAGGCCACAAATCGAACGCGGCAAGTCAGCTAGAGTCGGGCGACGAAAGGATGATTTAAAGGATAATGAAGAGAGCAAAGCAAAGGTAGAAACAAAAACCAGTTTTCTCTGTAGAGAGACGTAGATCTGGTACAACTATTGCCAAATAGCCTTCAATGGAAAGTCCTATCCTGGACAAATTGGAATATAACTCTAGCCCTAATCAACCGACTCGGCTTGATAGCCTATAAGAAATTAGAGCACTTCACTCACAGGTAGGTGTTGGCTTCGCTTGTTGTGATGTTGTGATCGTAGAATAAGTGGTGAGATGAACCCGCCGATACATCTGCGACTCCTTCGAACGAGCTCAGTCTGGGCAGAACGCTGAACTCTTCCTGATGTTCGCTAAACTGTACCGGTACAGTCCGGCCCACAGTAACTTCTCGTTTTCGGCAACAAAAAAGCACCCTCGTGGTTGCTTCCTTTATGATGCAACGGTGCAACAGCGCAACAGCCACGAGGAGCTTGACTGCCACCAAGATATCCTGTTACGAACCTCACCATTCACAGATCCTTTCAGCGGAGGTGCTTGCTGTGATTTAACATGGCCACCAATCGATGTCCAAAGTCGCGTGAAAACGCGGAGAAAGGGGATACAACGGGTGCTCTCGAATAGGTTGGGTCACACACACCTTCCCAAGGATCCGCTGTGGATCAATGTTTCGGCGTCGGTTGCTCCGAAGGGGGGAAGAGGGACCAGTTCGGTATTGGCTGGATCACACATGATGATGCTGGTTGTTGTACATGGTTCAAGCTCTCGATATTCCTCACTTTTTGGACTTGGAGATTGTTTGAAATACAACGGGGAGGAGCGCGACGTCGACATACCGGTACATGTGTTCAAGCCCTGAACATCGTTCACAGATCGAGCAATTTGGCAACTACATCTCGGCTTTCAAAGAACTGGGATGAGAGCGACGTTGAACGTCAACCCACAGTTCCAAGCCGTAACCACTGCTCACAGATTGGATCCATTGGCAAGTACAGTTCGCCTTTCCAACACCTGGTATGGGCGCGAGTTGAACGTTGACACACGGTTCAAGCCCTGTCCATGATATATCCTCTTGGACTATTGATTCCATTTGGAAGCCAGTTTCTCTGAACGAAACTGGTCCGGACGCGATTGGCGCCGTCCAACGATGGACCTTTATACCAGTGGGAGCATTTGTTGCCTACTCGGTCCGACAATGAATGTTGATTTAAAAAAAACAAATCAAAGTCTATTAACGGATTCAGACAAGCTGTGCTTGAGGACGACCCACGAGCCGAGGCTCGGGTAATGTTGATACCAGTGGGACCATTTGTCGTCGATACCAGTGGGACCATTCATCATTACTCTTCATCTTGTTTCTGATGTGCCGGATAGTAGAACTCCATCACGAGGTTGGAACTGAAAGCTTCCTCCAACTCCGTGTCTCCCGATACGCTCGATCGAACGTGCCTGGGAACAATGGACGGTAAGTTACTATCCCGTCGGCCGTTGTTGGACAGCTCCAAAACTTCATGGACCAAGAACTGGCAGACCGAGAGGATTCTCTCCAGAAAGTCGGCCTCGGTGATCAGTGGCATGGCTCTGCTGTTCTCGATGCTTTGTTCAGCGGTCAAGACGTGTTTCTTCAGAAACACCCCAATGCGATCTTTTAGTGCAGCAGCGTTCTCTGGGGCAAGGCAATCGTCTGGAGGGGAAGCCGACTCGCCTTGCTGGCTGCCTTCGTTGGCTTCCTCGTCCAGCTTTGTCAACCGCTTGAAGCAATGGTAATTGATACCATCCTTGCTTTTGTCGTTAGAAAAACCTTCGTCTGCCAACTGGTTGGACAAAGTGTCCACTGTGATTTCTCCTGCGGCGTCCTTCGCAATCTTGACCACCCCTGGGACGATCATCGTGTGGAGAAACATCATCACTAGTTCATCAATCAGCAGTGTAACGTCTTCTTCAAGTCCCCGAGCCATGGACACGTTGAACTTGTGCTGCAACATGGCGTTGATGGTTTCCGGATTGTAGATTCGATCATCGGGTGAGAACCGCCGCGTTTCTTCCTTTGGCGGGATTTCACCCCACCAATCGTCCAATCCAGTGTACTTTGCCCCGTTTGTCACATTATGTTCAAAGATTTCAGCCGGAGTACGTTTCTTTGGGACCTGCGCTACATAATCCGCATGACTGGTACTGAACCGTGTCCGATGGAAGAATGGCGCGGCTGATGCGTCTGGGTGGTGATAATGATGTTTCGCTCTCAGCACGGTATCCAACACAGTTGCAACTTTTTCGGCAGGCAAATCCATAGCTTCGTATCCAATACTGATAAAGGCTTGCGAGCCTGCCATGATTCCATAGCGGTACTCTTGTCGGCATGTCCACATGGCGGCAGTTTGTTGCGGATTGTCGTTGTTGCTTTGCCACGTTCCCACCAGAGACACTGACTGCAATCTCTCCAGCACGCTAGCATCGGGAACGGCCACATCCTTCATTGCTTCAACGACAGGAGACGTATCATCCGCAGAACTGCCATCATCTACAGGAACAGCATCCATAAACCAAGTGACATGACGAGGGTCTTCTTCCGAAAATGTCATGCGTCCAGTAAAGTACATTTCTTTTTCGGGCGGCATCAGTGGATTCCACGCGCCGTCGGTGAACCCTCCATACATGGCCCCAGTAATGGCCCCCAGTAGGTAGTCTTCCGGACAATCGACATGAAAGACCAATTGCAGAGTGGGCAACGGCGTCACGACAATCCAATCCCCCGTTTGCGCGGGCAAATCTGGAAATTCGACCTTGTCGTTGGTGCGAGACGCCCTCAATGCTTCTCGTTTCTTTCGAGCCGCCAAGAATTGATCGTCCAGTTTGGGATATTTGGGTGGATTTATTTTGTTCCGAATATATGTTTGAAAGTCAGGGACATTGCCTACCCAAGCCATTCCAGAATGAATGGACAGAGTAGGAGGACTAATTTGTAGTACCTGCTGTTTTGTAACTTTGTTGGAAAGTTCCAATTCCAAGGCATTGTCCAATGCATACAGCATGGCTTCGGACAAGGCTGTGGTCAAAACTCTATCCAACACACCACTGTCCAGGAGCGAAGCACCCGTTTCCAACAAGGCTTGGAGTCCCCGTACATCATTGGCCTGAATGGCAATTTCGAGAAGGCTCGTGACTTTTTCTGGTGATTCTCCTCCAGATGTTGTCCATGGCACGACCAGATCGGCAATGGTTTCATTGGGATCCACACCATGAGGCAACAACAATGCCAATCGAGACACTTGCGTAGTACTGGACGATTCTTCCTTTTGTTCCTTGGCGTCCATGAAAATGGCCGTAGGTGCCAAAGCGACCAAGTCATCATCCAGAGTCAGTGTTTCGTTTTCCAAACCGGCTTGTAGCAATTGCTCCAGTATGGCTCTATGGTTGTTTGGAATTTGCATGGCCTGTTGTGCTTCAACGAGATGCACTTGAGCCCCTCCTTTCAAAAGAGCCGTCATGACACCTGGATAATCGACGGGTTCTGCTGCTCCTACGGCTTGAGTAGGATTCACCAGGTCATGCTGCAGTACTTGCAAGACTGCCACCAAAATGGAAGTGGTGTAATGGGCATAGCTGGGACCATGGCGTTGATTGGGATTGGCATGACCCAGTTGCAGCAACAGCTCGACGCATTGCTTGGCTCCTACTCGAGCCGCCAATCGAAGTGGGGAACCCAGTCGGTCATGATTGCCATCTACCAGTTCCGTCAACAACAAATTTGGGTGGTTGTCGTCTTGCAGCACCAGTAGTGTTTCCAGGAATGATCGCATATCATCGGCACGGCGGTAGGCTGCCAATACCAATGCATAGAGTGGTGCCATGGTGGTCAAATCGTCCGAGGACAATTCCGTCCACTCAATCCCTGGTACTACAGTGTCGATTCCTTGTGCGACAATCTGCACTATCGCGTCGGGAACTGACAAGGTGCCAGGACCCGCGGGAGGGCCCGTGGAGACAAAGCCTTCCGTGGCAGTTCCCATAATATATCCGTTTACAGGGATACTTTGTACGGCTTGGGCCAACAACTCTTGGTGGATCTGAAAGGGTGTCAAAGATCCTTCGGTCACGGATTGTGCCAACCGTGTCTTGGCGTCCCGAGTGCTGTCCAAGTCGGGTTGACGGAGTGTCCGCAACAGACCTTGTAGCAGTTGCCGTACTTCATTATTATTGTTAGTATTGGAATCCGTCATCATGAGTACGGTATTAATAGTTGCGCTTCAATGGCTTCCAGAGGAGCAATCCATTAGTAACAAGAGGTTCAGACTCAACCGCAGAAGGGACAGCAAACCGAGGGAAGCTCCTACCTGGTAGCGGTACAGTATGGTTACCTGGTACTCGAGTCGAGTCCATGTCACCCGCATCACCTCCATGCCACGAGCAACCACATTGCCATCGACGGCCATCGTCCAGTCCGGAGTCCAGAGTCGGGCATCTTGTGGATCTACCGTATCTGCCAGCGAAGCTGCTATTTTAAAATTTTTAAAAAATAGCTGGGGCCATACAATCGCAAGTCTATCACACCGGTAGTAAAAAGAACTTCATGGTAGCGGTACAGTGTACGGCAGGTCTACGTGTATTTTATGGTCCATAAAAGGTACATGTACCAGGTTCGGGGTACCGGTACGTACTGTACTCGGTTGCAAACTTGAATTGGGAGCAGTCACGATTCGATTCGATTTTAGTCCCACGAAAGCGACGCAGCGTCGCGACGCAGTGACGCAGCGACGTCGCAGCGACGTCGCAGCGTCGTTTTCGCGGGACTCAATTTGAACCAACAAATTTATTTGAAACGGTACTGAAATGACATTTTTATTACTGTAAAAATACCATACAGTATTTAAAATACAAGCTCCCTGGACTATACGTAAACCGTACCGGTACAGGACCGTCCGACGGTTTTCACTCAGGATTTAAAATTTGCCACGACTGATTCAAAATCTGGTTCCGATTAAGGGAATGTCGAAGAGTTAAGGGAATGTTTAGGGAATGTTCAAGATTTAAGGGAATGTTTAAGGGAATGTTTATTTAAGGGAATGTTCATTCGTGATAAGGGAATGTTAAGGGAATGTTAAGGGTTAGTGTTAAGGGAATGTTAAGGGAATGTTTCGCGTCGATTGTCGCTCTCGTCGCACCAGCCACAAGCCACAAGCCACAAGCCACAAGTCGATCGTCGCTCTTGTCCTACTAGCAACCACAAGCCACAAGGCACGACGGCAACACCCACAACAAAGACAAGGGGATAGCAACATGGCTGACGATTTTGATGATGATGAGGATGGGTATGTAGTGTACTCAATCAAGACGCCAGACGAGATGCTTGCTGAGGGATTGGCACTCGCTGGATTCCAAGAGAAGCGATTGTCAAAATGGGGTATGAAATCGAAGGTTCAGACCTTCAAGGATCGCTACGGTCCCATCCCTATTGTGGCTGCTCAAATCTGGGAAGATCTGCAGACAACATCGATTGATGAGGCAAGAGTGCCAGAGAAGAAGCTCAAGCTGAAATATTACTTCATGGCACTGCATTTCCTCAAGCGCTATCCTACTGAATCTGAGCGGAATTGCACATATCAACAGCGGGTGGCAACACAGCGAGAGTGGGTTTGGTATTTCGTTGAGAAAGTAGCCTGTCTCCTTGCCTCCAAGGTTTATTGGCCGGAAGATCACATTCATGGAGATGACATCTGGATCTGCTCTATTGATGCCACTATGACTGCGGCTTGGGAAGTTGCCCATCCAGAATTGGCGAAGGACCCCGGTATGTTTGATTTTAAGCACCATTCAGCCGGATACAACACTGAGATTGTTCTGTCCCTTGTTCGCAGCCAGGTGCTACAAATTTTGCCGGCTGAGAAGGCAGGAGAAAACCCTGACCGAGTGATGTTTCGAGCCAACGGTGGCCTACGCGACAAGTTGCACGAATTCAAAAAGAAGGCAATTGCTGATGGTGGATACACGGGTGATCGTGATGTGCTGAGCACTCCAAACGCTCATGACTCTGCAAGTGTTCGTCGGTTCAAATCGAGAGCTTTGAAGCGCCATGAGTATTTCAACAGCATGCTAAAGAGTTTCAAAGCTATGGACCACGTCCATCGCCATGGCCAAGCCAAACTCCAGCTCTGCGTTGCTGCTATTGTTGTCATTTGCCAGTACCAAATGGAGCATGGAAGCCCACTATGGAATATTTATGTGGGCGACATGTAAACGATCGATGATTAATCTTAGTAATGCAAACTAGTAGTCTCCGCCCTTGTCGTCCTGCTTTGGCACGGGCACAAATCGAAGCAGCCCCTGCTTCTTGGACTTAGCTGCCATCTCACCCACTCCTCTCTTCTTGTGGCCGGTTTCATCGTTCATGATGGTATCATCGTTCTGGCCCCCAAGGAAAGCGTCTGTTTCCACGTGCTGTTGTTGAAGCTGATCAATGTTCTGTTGAAGCCACTCGTCAATGTCGTCATCGTCATCGTCTTTGGAAGAGGAGAAAAGGTTGCCATCGTCACCAAACATGTCGTCAGAATCGAAACTGTTTCCGGTTCCAAGAGCATTGTCAACCGGTGGCTTCTGCTTCTTGGTGGTCGGCTTCTTGGCAAGCTGCTTCGTCTCAGTTGTTGGCTGCTTCTTCTTGCTGTTAGACGAAGTTCCCGATGGCGTGGGGGTGGGCGCGGGCGGTGCTATTGGTTTTGTTGGCACGGTGCCTCCTAGTAGGAACAACAAACACACGAAAAAGCAATCAACAAAAACCATCCACTATTGTTGTTAGAGACTACACAGACAGCTCGGCAAGGCGGACAGAATAACACCAGCACTCAACCTCGTTTCCTGCCAGCCTTCTTTTTCTTGCCAGCGATTTTCATTTTCTGCATGGAAGCAGCAACATCCGTCATTGGTTCCTCTTCCTCATCAGAATCCATTGCCCCACGGGCTCGCTTATCCAATGCCTTGTCGGCAACCCGCCAAACAAGGCGAGGCGAAGAATGAACAGACCAAATGGACACGTCCTCTGTCATTCCGTCCGAGACCTCCATTGAAATTTGAGGTAATTTGCCGTCCTCATCAAGCACGTTCTCGATGTCCAAATCCGTTTGTACCGGGAGAGTCCCTACAGTCATAAGCCCGTCTTCCTTATTCGAGTTGATTTCCAGCACATCCGCCGAAAGCTCGACGTCTCTGGGGAATTCGAGATGGTAAACTTTCGTGTTCTTCTCTTTCTTGATGACCTCTTCTTTGAACTGAACCGTGGCATTCTCGATAGCCTCCCAAACGACTCCATCATTTATGGGTACACCTTCTTCGTCAACCGCTTCGAGCATTTCCTTGATCTCCGGATTGTCATATCCCGAATTAGAATAATCCAACGCCGGAGCTGTAACAACAACAGTTCTGGCATTGTAGACCCGAGCTTGAAATGGAAATGCTTTCCTCTTCCCGCCATCTCCCTGGGCATCCACCGGATGTACACGCATACAAATCAGATATCCCTTGTACATCTTCGCGGCCTTTGTCTTGGGATTCTCCTTTCCACGGAGACCTTCAGCAGAGAGCACCTTGAACGGTTCCTCGGTCTTCCACCACTGATCAATATTGACCACAATCTTGCCTGTTGAAAGCAAGAAAATTCAAAGAAAGCAAAGGTAAGAGACAGGCATCGAGCATAATTACTTGGTCCATCATGCAGAGCAAACACTCACCGGTGTTGTCTCCAGAAGTATTCATTGCTTCAAGTGAATCTTCTTTGAGATGCTTTGCTTCTTTTGGCTTGGGTTTTGAAGCTTTCTTCTCTGTGGATTGCTTCTTGGGCTTGGTGGTAATCTCCTTTATTGCAAAAGGAGGTGCTATCTCTTCCAGCTGAGATATCGACGAGGATGACGACGACGACGACAGAGATGAATGATCACGGTAGGATCCAAAATCCACCTGTTGCTTCTTGGCCGCTGGCTGCTTCTTCTGCTTGCTGGAAGCCGGCTCTTTCTTGAGGTTTGCAGAGCAAGGAACTTGGTACCTATTCAACACTTTCTTGAGATAATCAGCCTCGCTTAGCTCCCTCCAACGATGGACGTATTTGCCAATTTGGATTCGAATCGCGTCTCCTCTCTGTCCGTAAAGTGAACCTTCGTCAATTGCTAGTCGTTCGTCAAGTAGGTCAGCAAGCACTTGAGATCTTTTGGAGCCCTTCTGCAATGCCTTGATACCCCCCTCAAGCTTGGATTCTATATCTGTAGCCAGCTGCTTCAACAAATGTGAGGGAAGACCAGGCCTGCTGCCAGTGCTGGTTGTGCTCTTGACCGATCTCCCACCTGGACTCGCGAATGAAGCACTTGCTGTTGTTCTTGGAGTGGCAGTTGGACTGGATGGAGGAAGACCCTTTGCCCTCCTAGTAGATCTTCTGGGGGGTTGCCATTGTGTTCAATGGCTTGGCCAAAGGCACCAACACTCGCAGGCTGAACGTTCCTGGTGACAGAGACAATTGGAATTCGGATACTCAAGTGCGTGGCTGACTAGGTAGCTAGGTCATTCAAGCAAAATATCTTATTGGCCGAATCGAGTCTCAGTCAGAGTCGAGTCAAGTCAAGTCAAGTCGACTGTCTTAGTAAGTGGTAAGCGGTGTGGTGATAGAGCTAAAGGCAGGCAGGTACCGACTGCGTATTGAAAGCACGATCTTTTGCTCTTCGGCCGAAAACTACCACTAGAAAAGGAATCAACGATGCCCAAGAAGAAGAAGAACAAAGGATGGGAGAACAGTAATGCCAAGGCCGAGCTCTATGCTGCTATTCTGGCAAATACCATCCCACTTGATCCACCTGATGAGGAGACCAAAGATGATATTAAGTATTATTTTGACTCTCTACCCGAAGTTACACTTGAAGGCGATTGGGCCAAGTTTCCACGGCGCCTTTCTGACTTGCGAGCTCAAATGAAGAGGGATCTGTCTCGAGCAAACGAAGATCAAGATGCCTTTGATCGCTTTGTGGCCAACCACCCAAAGAATCTAGTTGCGGCAAAGGGAAACTATCCAGAGTGGGAAGATCATGATGCTCAGAAGCTACTCAAAAAGGACATGGCAGAAGGATTGCATGATGAATACAAGCCCAAGGATTTGTGGGAAAGCCGGGATGAGTATCAGCTCTTTCCTTTGAAAGTGTTTCGGGATCATATCTACCAAGAGCTTCGAACAGCACGATACTTGAATCAACTACAACAAACAGAAAAGGGGGGGCACAAATGGAAAGCACTCTACAAAGAGATGCAAGGACACAATGAATAGCTCTGACTAAACAATAAGCAATGGTTGACAGATAGTAGTATACTCAGCCATAGTGCTGCTTCCTCTTGGTTTATTCTTCGTGTTGTTGTCCTCTACGACTTTCGTGTTGTCGGTGTTGACATATACCGCGAAACAGTACTGTTCGCGAAATAAGGGAATGTTAAGGGAATGTTAAGGGAATGTTGAAGGCTTAAGGGAATGTTTCGAAGCCTTAAGGGAATGTCGTTAAGGGAATGTTTATTTAAGGGAATGTTTAGGGAATGTTGAGGATTTAAGGGAATGTTTAAGGGAATGTTTCAAACCGTCATCAGTCGTGGCAATTTTGAGTTTATTTTAAATCCTGAGTGAAAACCGTCGGACGGTCCAGGTGGCGGTGTCTCTTAGTACTGGCTACTCGTAGCTAGCTAGTAGGTCTCCTACGGTCCTGTACCGCGCGCGCAAGCTAAGATCCGACCTCGTCACTCGAAGCCCTAACTCTAACTTGCTAAAGAAAGCACTCGTACTCGAGCATTCGGCTTTTTTTCAGCTTTCGTCTCCTGTTTCCTCAGTTTGCTGGCTACTTGGATCCATATGCAATTCAGCCATTGCAGCCAGCTACGGTACCGTAGGCAGAGAGTTACATCGATCCGTGACAGTGGCAACAGTACCGAACACACTCAGGTTCGGCTTTGCTCGCTGCACTCGGTTGCCTCGCATTGGATCCTTATATGACGAATACACGCACAACCGAATATTGTCAATCCAGCCATTGTAACCAGCTGCCGTATAGCTAGTGGCAACAGTACCGAGAGTTCGGCTTTGCTCGCTACACTCCGTTGCCGGTATCTTGCATTGGATCCTTATGACGAATACATACACAACCGAACATTATGAATCCAGCCATTGTAGCCGGCTGCGGTATAGCTACATCGACGACAGTGTCAACAGTACCGAAGTTCGGCTTTGCTCGCTACGGTTACCGGTATCTCGCATTGGATCCTTATGACGAATACATGCACAACCGAATATTGTCAATCCAGCCATTGTAGCCAGTTACCGTAGGGTTACATCAATCGGTGACAGTGGCAACAGTACCGAACACACTCAGGTTCGGCTTTGCTCGCTACGCTTCATTGCCTCACCATTACAATGAATACAGGAATATTGTCAATCCAGGCTCCACCAAGTCCTCGACGACCGACTTGTACATACAGGAAAATGGGTACCGACACAGGAATCACCAACCAAACACTAGGAAATAACACTGGAGGGATGAATCCAGTAGTAGGATCCACTCTCTTGGTGTGTGTTGTCGCGTAGCCTCCTCTTGTTGCTTTTCAATGACTCGACGACGATCTCCACCGTTCAGACTGTTGGTAGGGCTGGAGTTAACAGAACCTCCTCTTGTTCTCCGGAGCGATCTCCTCTCTTGTTGTTATCCGGAGCGACCGTTCGTTCGTTCGACCTCGACAATGGGATTTCCTCGGCCGTCGGCAGTGCAGCAGAGAAAACAACAAATAGATATGAGTTTTGTTTTCTGTGCTCAACAGCAGACGACCGGAGACTTACTCTTGTTTTTCAAATTGCACCAACTTGGCCATCATGGGCCGAGAACTGACTGCCATCCCATGGTCCATAGGATTCAATGAGGGATGGCTTTCCAATCTACACCGGAGACAGCCGGCTTGAGTGAGGCTTGGATAACAGAGAGTATAGAGGTGCGACCGATTGATTCGATTCGAATAATTAAAACAACTCACCTGTTGGCGGCCGAGCTTGGATTTCTCTCCTGTTTACCATAGGAATTCAATGAGGGAGAGAAGTCAGTGCTGTACCTTCAATAATGGACTTTTGGTGCGATCAGTTCATCCTTAACCTTAGCAACTTCAACGTTTCTTTTATCCACGAATCGATCAGGTTTGGTACTTACAGATACACATGACCGTTGATTCTGCAACTGAAGTGCGGGTACACTAATTTACACAGTAAACGCGAGCCAATCGATTTCAGAGTGCAACTGAGGGGGTAACCAAAAGGTGCGTCGTCTCAGGAGACGTAACAGTACTATGTACTAGTAGTACCGGTACAGTAAAAAGAAGGCGACTGAATCTGAATCATTCGATTCGATTCTTCTGATTCGAAAAACAGCGAACAGTTCAATAATTCAGTGTGTTGCTATGACCCAGTGAAACAGGTGCACTGGAGTAGTCCGAGTATGGCTTATTGGCTTATTGGTTAGCCACAAACATCCACAGCAATGTACGGTAAAAAGTCACGGAGCTGGCAAAACCACCACTTACTGTAGAAGTTTTAAAAGAAGCCCCTCGAAGCCAGCTAGCCCCTCGTTTCTGCAGCGCTAGCTAGCTGTAAGGCACTGAGGCCTGAACAATTTTTGTTGGTCACCTCTGCTCTCTCTTGTTTGTTTTCATCAATTTTGGCAACCATCAGGAAATAGACTCGACTCTTTACGATGACGGCTTCAGGTGACGGTACCAAGAAAGAGGTGAAAGATCCTGCGGTCGTCAAGGGTGACGACGACAAGTCGAAAGAAGTGGAGATTAAGCATGCTCCTCATCCGTGCAAGAAGACTGAGAAGCCATCTGAAGGTACTCACAGTGGGGGACCTGTTACCAGTTCAAATAATGACTTAGATTGTGAGATTCCCGCACCTATCCTTTTGGCCGAACAGTTCAGTGACGTTCCCTCGATGCCTGCAGAGTCAGTGCCAATACATCCGTGGATTGTCGGCATGGGCGTTAGGGCTGCCTCGAGCACTCCCGGAGCTTTTCGATCGAGCCCTGGCCTGATGACACAACGCACCGAAGAACTTTCCAGGAGCATCCTGCAGGAACAACAGCAGCAGCATGGACGAGAAGAAGGAGATCAAGATCAAGTATACATTTCCAATGCGGAAGGTCTGGTTGAAGCAAGAGCCGTGGATGAACAGGCAGTGGCTGTAGCTTTCCCGGAAGCTAGTACCCAAGCAAAGTCATCGCGAAGCCAATCGGAGAAACCATATTCTGTACTACTGACTCTTGCTGTCTTGCTCATGGTGGAAATCATTCTCCTGATTCTTGGCTTAACCGGTTCCTTTGAGACGAGCAGCAGCAGCATTCGTCCCGCAAAGAATACCACATTGTCAACCTGGCCAAAGGAAGAGACAGACTTTCTGTGGAACCAACTTTTCGGAAATCTTACCAACACTTCATCGACCCTTCAAGCATTGCAAGGCCCCGCTTCTCCTCAGTCTCGTGCTTTGGATTGGATTCGCCAAGATGTTTTCAACCAAATCTACCCGCAGTTTCGCCTTCGCCAACGATATGCCTTGGCTACCTTTTACTACGCCATGAATGGAACCTCTTGGACTCATTCCAAAAACTGGTTGACTGCAGAGCATGAATGTGCATGGTACACCGCCGATAGCCGGTCCATTACGAGTGCCATCAGTCACTCCACCACTTATCCATCCCCATGTCATGGACACGATCCCATAACTGAGGATAGTGCCACATTTGTTGCCAACACCACTACAATGAGCTATGACAATCCCTACTATTCTCGTCTATGGATGCGCCACAACAACATGTATGGCACACTCCCAGAAGAAATCTATTGGCTCACATCGCTCACAAGCCTCGATTTCAGTTACAATCCGGTCGTTGCGGGCACTATCTCCACACAGATTGGTCAACTACGAGACTTGGAACACTTCAAAGCTCCAGTCTACCGGTACAAGGGAGGAACTGTCGGATCTCTAAGCTCTGTCAAGTCGGTCGACTGGTTGCACGGGACCATCCCCAGGGAGATGGCCTTGTTGACCAAGCTTCGCGTTTTGGATGTGGGACGAACAGGACATAGACTAAGCGGAAGCTTGCCACCAGAACTATTTACACAACTCACCTCATTGGAAAACTTGCTCTTGTCAGGCAATCAATTCACGGGATCCCTTGCCACTGAAATTGGACTTCTCACCAAGATGCAAGCCATGTCCATCGTCGACAATGCCTTTACTGGCATGTTGCCGAGTGAGTTGGGTCAGCTGTCTCTGATGAAGTACACTTATCTTTCAGGCAATCAGTTTTCGGGAAGCATCCCCACAGAGTTGGGGCGATGGACGGATGTCATTTGGTTGAATCTCAACAACAATCTACTCAGCGGATCCTTGCCGAGTGAAGTGGGACTGTTTCCGATAATCAAAGAGTTTCAATTGGACAACAACGCTTTGGAGTCCAAGTTGCCCACCGAAGTTGGACAATTGAAACTTCTACGACAGTTGCATGTTAGCCAAAACCAATTCACGGGGACCTTGCGGACAGAGTTGGGTCGATTGACACGTCTTGAGACTCTTCGAATGCAAGGGAATCAATTCTCAGGTCCTTTGGTGACGACACAGGACAACTCGCCACTGGAAAACTTGACCAAGCTTGTGACATTGGATCTGTCCAGCAATGCTTTCTCGGGCACTATCCCTAAATCTTGGGCAGCTCTACGGCTTCTAGAAGAGTTTGACATCCACAAAAATCAAATCAGTGGCAGTATTCCAGTTGCATTATTGGCTTGGGGCAACACCATTCGAAAGGTCGATTTGTCGAACAATGACTTGTCCGGATCTCTCCCAATGGAGTTGTTTGATGCGTGGGGAAATGTTACTTATTTGGATGTATCGGGAAATGAGTTTATCTCAGGGACATTTCCCAGTGCCTATTGCGAACGAACTCAATTGCTACGGGACAATGAATTTCCCTTGGTGTTTGGCTTTGATTGCAGTGACAGGCTCTGCGGATGCAACTGTACCAGCTGCTCACTTTGGACAAATGGAAGCAGCTGGTGACACCGGCTGCAACAAGTTTTGAACATGTCAAAGCAGGAGGTTGGCACAGCAAGGTTTCCGACGAAACGGTGAATTGCTTGCAGTTGACTTGACTCGGCCCAAGTTATTCTACATGTAGGAAGCGCTTGCAGTTGACTCGGCTTTCCTCATTCCATTTTTTCACGGTGTAGATGTATACTAATAAAGCAAGCTTCTCGAGGAGCACACCTCCCTTGGAACAATTACATGTACCGGTACTGTATGTGAGACTCCCTGTAAATCGTTCATTTAAATTCTTGGTCATGCCGAGCAGACTCACCTGAGATGTGTAGTCCACTGCAGATTCTTCGGAAGCTTGGTCGGTCTTCATGATTTTGATTGGCTTGGGGGATCGCCTTTCACCTTCCCTCCATCGGTCACTGCTGGAGGTTGCTTTTGCCCTTCCTTCTTCTTGGTGGATACCGGTAGCATGTCCATCGGCAAATGTTGTTCAGGAATATGTTTGCGATGGTATCGATGCATGGATATGGCTTGGGCTTACCGAGCTGACGGAGGAATAGAATAGGATCCTCCTCTTGCCACAGTTGCCAATGGCTCAAGATACCATAAAAGTAGACTAGACTAGCTACCGGTAGCCAGGCTCCTGGTGGTACTGTAAATCATACTGTTCCACAAAAGAATCAACTCGTGATGCTTTCGCAACGTGACCAAACGCAAGGGGACCGCAACTCTCTCACAAAACAAGAACATGTGCGGTTCGAATTTGGATGTTGCTCTTCGAATTTGGATGTTGCTCTTCGGGTTTGCTCGACTCCATCAATCGCATCTTGGCTCATCTTCATTGTGTTCACACACTGAAGCTGACACAACTTGCAAACGCAATTCTTCCCACAACGAAATCAGTTAGAAGAATCTCCGCCAATAGAGAAAGCACTTACCCAACAGGATATCGCCTTCTCGCGCCACCAACACGCTGTCAAGACGTACAGCCATGACCACCCCTCCACGACACTACTTGACCTGGGCCACCGCAATGGTACTCCTCGTGTTTTTTTCAAGGGTTCGCATCGTCACAGGAGATATCCTGGATGATGCCATGGAAGGAGCCCTTCGAGATTTGTTCGTCTGCGGAGAAGACATGGCTCTTCCAAGTTTCAACGCTACCCAAACGGTGCATTACTTTTAGCTAACCCCAACAGTGCCAAGAGTCCTCGGTCCTTTCCTTCCATATTCAAGGGCTTTTCCCTTTACTACTACCAGAAAAGAGTTGAGATGGAATCGTATTCCTTCCGTTAGAAACAAGTGGAACCCCACTTGCTCGCCGCAGCCAAGAAAGCATCGTGTAACCTATGTTGTGACAGGCAAACTCTACCGCAGATACGTCGTCGTCGAGACAGGAGCATTTTCACCAACCGTGCGTTACATAACCTAAAGTTTTTGAGATCTACTACTGTAGTTATTACAGACTTTTCTATTTGTATTATGCATCGTGCTGTGGCTCCTGCCCCGCATTTTTTTTAGAAGGCACCGGCTCCAGCAACCTCTAGGTCACCCGTAGCCATGACATCGTAGACACACATGCTAAACTCCTTGCTCGCATCCCCATAGCGGCCACTGCATGCAGCGCTCGTGGCTTGCTCGGAGATGATTTGCTCCCCCAAACGACGCTTCTCGGTGGCATGCTGAGCACTGGGCAGGACACACTTCATTGGGTGCTGCGGCAAGCGTTCGGCTTGAAACAGACTGGCCTCCGTGTCCAGAACTTGCCACTCCTGACCAAAGGCATTGTCATCTTCAAAGATGGTGGAACCATCACGACCATTCTTGTTCCCGGCAAAATCTCCCATCAAACGAGTGACACTTTCAAATTGCGTCTTGGTGGCATTCTCGACCTTGAAATTGACCATGTCCTTGAAGGTACTCACAGAAATGTACTGGTCGCCAGTGACTTTGATCTGGAAGCTGTGTTCCTTGTCACTCTTGGAGGTGTGGGTCAAAGTCAAAAGGCCAGCCATCTGGAACGGCAACTCAGCCTCCGAGATTTGGTTGAGCATATAGAAGCCATAACCAGACACTTCCAAGACATCATCTCCAATCTTGATGGCGATGCTTTCAATGTAGGAGTAGTCATAGCGCATCGTTGTGCGCACTTGAAACTTCTATGGCCAATCCAAGTCCAAACTCTGTAGCTTTCAACAACACGAGGTCGCATTCCTGAGTGACAATTAGAGGTAGTAATAGCGCAGCACGTGTGAGTTCAATGGATCATTTTTGTGAATGCAAACGATCGACGGAGCTTTTGACTTGTCTTACCCCGTGAAAGTCGAACCAGTCACCAGCCCATGTCTGGAGGCAGGAAGGCAGGGGGCAGACGTGAGCGAACAAAGTCTTGTTGCAGTGTGCAGATCAAATGATGAGCTATCCAGGCCATCCAGTTGACTTAACTTCAAAGTCTAGTGGATTAGCAGCAGAGCACCCCGGTTGTCAATGCACAGGTTTCGTCATAATTCAAGCATCCGTTGGTGTCTGGGTCACAAGGATCAGGCAAGCTCAATTCTCTCTGTCCTTCCAGGCGCCTCGCTGAAATAGGGAAACAGCACTTTTGAGCAGAAACATGCACAAGAGAGAAGAGCAAAAGGGAAAATGCTGAAACAAGGATGGTCATGGTGGTGATTAGCTGGGTTTGTTGTCAGTGATGGAAGTTTGTTGTCAGTGATTGAAGTACGGCACGGGTTGATCGACTGGATTGGCTGCGTCAGGGAGGCTTCTTTGTTGTCAGTGAATCAGTGAATGGAGTACGGTACGGATTGATCGACTGAATTGGCTGTGTTGTGGAGAGTTGCTTGTCCAATTTGTGAGCAAGATACAGGGGAGCAATGGAGTTTCGTTGTACCACTTGTGCCCATGCGCTATGCACTAGTTATGCATCTTGTACGGCAAAGTGCTGGTGTGGATGTACTCTGAGCTCTGAGTGCACATTTGGGGTAGCGGTAATAAAACGTGGCGACAACTTTGCTGCCGAAAATGAGATTTTTGAGACTATCGGTACAGCAGTAACTAGAAAACTTATTGGAACAAATTTACAACATCTATCTGTAGTTCTCTAGATTGAGATGCATCTTTCTGCAAGAGTACCGGTACGACTGGCAGCTATACTGGCTACCAGTACCGAGCTAGCCAGTGCATCAGACCCAGTTCACTCCGGATTTCAGTCACAGTTTTACATGCACTCGATGATAAAAGCGTCTACAGTACTAGTAAATGATAGATTTAGGGAGAGGGTTAGTACGATGCTGTGCGGTGCTGCCGATACCGTGAGGATGTTTTCAAGAGCGATCCGCAGAGACATAAATGGGTAGCTTTCACACCGGCAACAGAGATGGGGTCTGCATCAAGGACATCATTTTGAGAGTATGAGAACTGAGGTTTGGTGGCAGCCGCAGAAGCAAGGCGTTGTACCGGTACAACGATTCTTTGCAATCAGGGAGCGACGAGTGACCGTGTGACTGTCTTTTGCTTGGCAAAGATGATCCACATACTGCGAAGGCATACTGCAAAATTGCAATGGTTCTCAGGGCCATAGATGATGGCAATGACAAAGCACTTGAGCTACTACAGAAAGCGCTTGCAATCAGAGAGAGTTAGCCAGGAGAGCAGCATCTTGACCCAACTGAGACTGATGTTGGTGGTTCGAAAAGGACAATGGAGACTACTGCGGTGCCCTGGAAAACTGCAGCAACTGTCTCTCCGTCAGGGAGGCGATGCACACACTTGGAAAGGGCCACCATCAAAAGTTGTATAGCTAGCTAGAAAGTAGAGAAGGGCAGCTACAGCGCATCAGCGCTTGCGGTGGTCAGTTCAGAATTTTTTGAGCAGCCAGTCAACCGGCTCCTGCTCGGAGGAGACCCATGGCAGGAGGCAAGGCAGCTGGGTTGCGGGCTACTATAGGCTGACAAGGAAGCAAATCGCGCAATGGGAAATTCAAAAGGCTCCAATATCCAAGAGTCGTCTCCCAAGAAGTTGAAAAGAAGTCTCCTCATTTCAGGGCAATAAACAGTTGGATCCGTGGAATCCATCGAGTTCCACTTCAAATGAAGTCAACCCCCACTGCTAGCTTGAAATTCGACGGTCAAGCACCCATCCATGTTTCAGCAAGTTGCTGCCCTGCTCCTTGAGCTTTGGTATCTGCATGTATGACTAGCTAGCAGGCAGAGTTCGTTATGACTGAAAAGCTCTTATGCATTTACTGTATTACAACTATAGCTTCGAGCAAGAGCTAACGTCCCTTCAGACTCTCTGTACTCTTCCGTTCCGATCTTAGCAAGTCTACTGTACATCCTCATAGCGTCCAAGCCAAACAACCAAGGCCTGCTCATTTATTCATTCATGACAAACAGCCCTTTTGCTGGCTGTTGTTTGGCTATAGAGCAGTTCACATTTGTGATTATTAATTAAACGGATGCTCGTCGTCGGTGCTTGGGAGCAATAATCTGAAGCTCGTCATGGTTCAAGACCGCAGTAAGGTTGGCCAAATCGACGGATTGTGCATTCAACGAAAACGCCCTGCCAGTGGATCCTCCGTGTTGCGAGACGCAAAGTGTGCAGTTTTGGTTCTTCTTGTTCTTGTTATCGCACAATCCACCCACGTGAATGTGAAGGTCTCTCAGGGAAACACCTGCTGGGACGTCCATGGACAAACGAAGCTCTGTGGCACTGCTGTGAACCCGTCGCACTTCAAAGAATCGGGTGATTCGAATGCTGGACTGTGGACCTTCTTGTTGGGGAAGAAAACCCTCCACTTCTTGGTAAGGTGAAGCAGCGGGATGTTCCAGGTGGGTGTGTTGATCGATGGCGGCCATGGTTATTGTAAGTGTGAATTTCGAAAAGATCCGCGTTTTGGTTGCTGAACTTCAGTGGATTGTGAGAGCAATCTCATACGACTTTAGCAAAGAGAGCAATCTGTCAATCTAAGGGTGGAATGATGAGGTATTTGAACTTTCAGCGATCATGAGGCTTAATGGTGCCCTTGGAACCTGTATCAGCCTTATCATAGAAGCGCAATTGCATGGTCATTGTTCTGAAATCTGAGAGCCTTCAGTGAATTTGCGTTCCATAATATGTTCGCTTGTTGGTTCCAAAAGAACAACCATGGATGCAGGTGCAACGAGCGCGAGGGAAGTACTTGTAAGTCACGATCTCAGTCCCAATTGAGTCACCATTTTCTGGCTCATCGACTTATTCGACAAATGAATTCGAACAGTCGAATAATCTTCCGAAGCAAAGATCCAAATTGGATCTTTCAAAGTTGTCATGACAACTTCCTTGTTGAACACATCATCAAGTGATCGATTGAATCATTCATCATCCCCGAAGCCTCGTTGCAAGCGAGCAAAACCAATTGAAGACACAGGGCAGTAACTGAAAGTGCATCTTGCTATCAAGGAGGGCTGAAGCTTTGGGAAGCTTTCATTAGTATCAGTTGATTCTTAGCCGTTGTTTTCTATCAATCACCTGGTTGGATCAAGATACTGTACGGTACGGTATAGACGATGAAGAGCTATCAGCACGACATTCGACTCATTCCACCTCCACGGGACGATGCTGCGGTTCCCAATAAGAGATCATTGGGTCAGCGAGGATTGGTTCTTGCTTTGCTTTGTGCCGCAGCAGGTATGATGATGTTCTTGTTCTCGTCAAGTCAACAGAGCCCCATGGTACTGGAAAAGAACGTTGGATTCTTGTGGGGTAGCAGCAAAAAGCATGCTCACAGCCACGGTAAGAAGAAGAAGAAGCATTCTCACGACAAGAAGAATGATGCCGAGGAATACGATTGGCACAAATACGTGGACAAGTACAAGAATCAGAACAACGACTCCAATCAGGATGATGACGATAGTGGCAATGATGACGATGATAGTGGCAATGATGATGATGACCAGACCTCCAAGAAAGCAAAGGACTTTGACTGGCACAAATACGTGGACAAGTACAAGCCTCCTCCGAAAAAGGACAAGCACAAAGATGAACCACCGGAACCAGAGCACGACAAAGAGCCAATTTCAACGGAAGAACCGGGTGATTCTGCATCGGAAGATGGGAGTCACAGCCACCATCAACACAAAGCCAATCACAAGCATGTCCATAAGAACATTGATATTCTGGTGGATGATAAAAGTGACGACAAAAAACACAAGAAGAAGAAGCACAAGCATGACGACACTCCTGGAGGCAAACATGTCCACAAGGATATTGATATCTTAGTGGATAAGAGCCACGAACAAGATGACAGAGACGGAGATAAAGGGCCCTCTCCTTCAGCAAGTGATGAAGAAGAAGTAACAGTCCACCATCATCAGCATTCTCACAAGAAGCCACCAAAACCAGAGCACAAGCAGGGACCAGAACATGTCGAAACAGACGATGACGATGAATACGTCTCGAAAGATGGAGATGGTGTGCATCATCACCAGCACAGTGGCCATCATAAGCACGTTCATAAGAACATTGATGTTCTGGTGGATCCAGGAGATGATGATCCAGATGACAAGGGTCACAAGAAGAAGAAGCACAAGTCGTCTCCAAAAGAAGATGACGGTGAAGGTGGTGACGATGATGATGAAGCCACGGGTGAAGAAGTTGAAGACTACGACGATGATTTTGTGGAGGATGATGGGAGCCGAGTGCATCACCACCAGCATGTCATCCACCATAAACATGTCCACAAGAATATCGACATTTTGGTGGACACAGCCACAGACCGGCAAGATGAATATTCACACTTTGGACCGAGTGGCGGCAAGGACGAGGACAAAAAGCACAAGGCGCATCCCGGTCTACGCTTGGAAGGATATCCCTCCCTTGAGGTCCAGGAGCAATATTTGAACGATTTGCAAAAGATTGACTGGGATGCCGTCGAGAAAGATTTGGTGGATCTCATGACAGACAGTCAAGACTGTAAGTGGAATCTGTCAGGGTATTTTGTGTTTGTTTGCCATGAGCTCGTTCCTTCATTCGTGAGTGTGTCTCTTACAACTCTTTTTCACTGAATACTGACGCTGACAAAAATTCATGAACATAGGGTGGCCGGCTGACTATGGAAACTATGGTGGCTTGTTTGTTCGCCTGTCATGGCATAGCTGTGGCTCGTACCGTACTTCCGACGGTAGGGGTGGATGCGATGGTGGTGGGCAGCGGTGAGTTTCCTGCTCGGTATCTTCATCCAAAAGCACAGGCAAACCAACCCTCACTGGTTCTGCTTGCCTTTCGTGCCTTAGGTTTGATCCAGAACGTTCCTGGCCTGACAATACCAATCTGGACAAGGCAAGGCGACTGTTGCAACCCATCAAAACGAAGTATGGCAATGGACTCAGTTGGGGTGACCTGTTTGCTCTCAGCGGTACTGTTGCGATCAAGTCTATGGGTGGCCCCGTGCTTGGATTCTGTGCTGGTCGGTTGGACTTTCAGGAACCTGTCCAGACTCAAGCATTGGGGCCGACACCCGAGCAAGAGAAGTTTGCCACTTGTGAAGTAAATGGCCAATGTCCCTTTCCTCTCGGGCAGAACACGTTGGGGTTGATCTATGTAAACCCAGAAGGTGGGATGTGACGCTTGCTCGAGGAGGAACTGTTTTTTATGCATATTATTTGGTCCTTTCTCACAACTACTTCTTTGCTTCTCAGGACCCATGGGTGAGCCAGACTTGACCGGAGCGGCAGCCACGGTACGAGATGTCTTTGGCAGGATGGATTGGCACGGACGAGAGTTGGTGGCGCTCATTGGAGGAGGACACACGTTCGGGTAGGTGCTGGTACCTTTCCTGCTTTGAAGGCCAATTCTGCAAACTCCTCACTCCTTTTTCGTGCACCTCACAGGAAAGCACACGGGGCCACCACGGCGTCGCCGGGAGACCCACCAAACAAGTGTCCGTTTGCCCCTTGGAACGGTGCGACTGGCATGGAAGCCGTCACTAGTGGGTTCGAAGGACCCTGGACGGAAGAACCCACCAAATGGGACAACAAGTACTTTCAATACTTGGTCGAATTCGAATGGGAGCCCATCGTTGGACCTGGCGGACATCATCAGTGGCGAGTCAAGGGTGGCAATGGACCCAAGGCTCCTGTGGCAGATCCCAAGTTGGCAGATCAGACTCAGGATGTGATGATGTTGACCACCGATGTAGCATTGAAGGCCGACCCAGAATACTTCGAGTATGTGAAGGAGTTTTCTCAAAACATTACGGCTTTCTCCGAAGCCTTTGCCAAGGCATGGTATCAATTGGTGACGCGTGATGTAGGCCCAGTCGAGCGGGTAAGCGCAGGAATGTCGCGTTGAGGCCCATGTGCGGTTGTATTGCAATCCTCACGCTTCCTTCAATTGTCTTCTCCAGTGCGTAGGCCCCAAAGTGCCGCCTGCTCAGCCCTTTCAACATGCCTTGCCAAAGCCTGCCGACAAACTGGCTGATATGGACAAAGTTGCGCACGACGTCAAGAAGCTAATAAAGAAGCATGAAAAGGTTGAAAATCAACTGATTCGGCTAGCCTTCCAATGTGCGTCGACCTACCGTGCAACCGATTACTTGGGAGGCTGCAACGGTGCTCGCATTCGCTTCCCTCCAGGAAGCGAGTGGCCCATCAACGAAGGACTGGATAAGACACTTGAGCTTTTGGAACCCATCAAGAAGAAACATGGGAAAGGTTTGTCATATGCAGACTTGATCGTCTTGGCTGGAACAACGGCTGCCGAGCATATTGGGGCACCAAAGATGCGTTTTTGCCCGGGACGCACTGACGCCGACGACGGCAGCGGTTGGAACCATGTCGAATTCGGATTGACGGAGATTCCGTCAACAGTCGAGGCCACGATGGAACTCTGCAAGCGTCGCGGGCAAACGTATCAAGAATGCGTGGCGCTTTCATTCCCCGTCTTCCGTTCGTCTGAGAGTCTTGGTGGTCTCTTGGAGACCAGGACAACGTCGTTTGCTATGGCTGAGGGGCTAATCTTTTACCCAGAATTGCGCGTTTGGGCGGATTACTACGTTGCTGCGGGCACCCTTGAATACGCCCGTGATTTTGCGGAAGCCTGGACTCGACTCATGAATGCAGATAGGTTTCAAGGCCCGCTGGGAAACGTTTGTGCTTGAGCGATTGGCAAGGCTATTAGAGCTAGTGATACATGGTTACCCAACTAGTGTACATTTACAAATTATTTACTTGTACAGACGCTGCAGCAAGAACGATCTCATTGCCTTGATTGCAAAAGTTGAACGAGTGACAGCTTGGCTACACCCATACTTCGTCCGAAATGACCATGTGCTGGAAGCTCAACAGTAGCTCTCCTTCGTCGTAGACGTTGACGACTCCATCTTTGGTCTGTACTTCTCTCTTTATGTACACTGGAGCTTCAACGACTTCCTCTCTTGGACCGGGCCAGTGCTTGACTTGCGCAAAAAGTTTTGGGTGATCTTCTGTCCCAAGAATAGTCGCAATGTCTCTGGTAACATCATATTCCACGTGCGGGTGTGCTTCGTCTTGCCAGTTGAACAAATCAGTGTCAATGTTTACGATGTTGCATAAGACGTATGGGTATGGGCTGAAGGGACTTGCTACCTGCGGAATGTAGCTATCGATGACCTGGACGTCACTGTAGGCGATGTTCTGATCTTGCCCTCGATTGACGTGCTTTCCAACGAGGTACCGATGCGCCCTGTACGCTAACGCAGAGAGAATAACCAGGACCATGAGCAGAGTCACCACCAGACTTGACCATCCATGAACTGAAAGTTGAAGGAAAGAGCGTGAGGAAGGTGAAATGGCAGTAGGTGAGCAAAGACAAGAGCAATGTATGTACACTTACCACTGACAATTTCCTCCTGTTCACTTGTCATCCACTCGAGCCCGGCAGGTTGAAATTGTGGTAGGGCAGGGAATGTCCATTGTCCTGGAGAAAATCGTAGATCCTGATTGCAATACTTGTACACGTCGTCGCCAGGAGCTATGGTTATGGGATCATCAAACTCTTCACCGACATATTCCACGTTGAACTCTAAATTCACATCCAGACCCAGTGTCTCACCAGCACCCCCAAAGAGGTTGAAGCTCTCAATCGTAGGTGCAACCTCCCAGGTCCCAAGGAAGTAATCCGGCAAAGTGGCGTTTTCATCCAAGCACAGGTTGTCCTAAGAGAGAGTGCAGCAAACGCCATATTAGCGAGGGCGAAATCCTTCTGCTATCTGGACCATCCGGCGCAGACTTACATAAGGAAAACCTGACCAATAGTATGCGGAAACCACTGACATCAAACATATGGCTAAGGGTGAATAATAGTACCTGATGAAATCAGCGACCTCAGATCCGACTGCCGAGAAAGCAAAATGGATTGACCAAGCAAATGGATTGAGCAAAGCAATACGTCACCTTTTCCTAACCCGGAAACGTTGTGTTGAACTTACCTTGCGAGCTTCGGGCCCAGGATCTCATCATGCTGAATCGATCTACAAAGAATGTAATGGTCAGGGCCACGCTTCCCATGAAGAACGATGCGGGATAAATGGAGCAGTACCAGAGAGTCATGAAGAGGAATTTCATCATGTTGGCATATCGCTCGGCTAATTGAACTGGTGTTCCTTTCATGAGCATGTTCATTTCAGCCTGAGTCTTGGCCCGTGGCGCCAACACGAAACGGCTTATGTTCCCCCCGATATCCAAAAGCTGCAGTATTGGTGACAAGGTAATCTGGGAAAAGAAAAGACTGTGCACAGCAGGGATCAACCCTGGAAGACTGTTTTCCCTCTGGTCCAATGTTGCCTGTGAGATTTGGAAAAAAGAGTAATGTGAGGCTGCATGCTGCCAATATCATCATGTATTACAGCTGTTGCAGATACGTATGACGTGCACGGCATTCCCTTGCTTACCTGGAAAGGCGTCACGAGTGCCAACAGCACGGTCGACACCAATATGTTGAACGACGCAATCTTGACAAAGAGCCACTTTTGTCGTTCTGTGTCATTGTGGTGCTTCTCAAACCCCATGAGTATGTTGGCGACAATGGGAAACAGAATCGTGAACAGGGTTGTCACAATCCCAGCCCACCAAGGTTGATTCTTTAGGTAGAGTCTTCGAATGATATAGTAGGCCGCCAGGACGAACCCAACAGTGGCAAGACTGGTGGCAATCTTTCGAATCAAAACGGTTGATTCCGTGGCATTGAGTTCCTGCCATCGAATGGTGGATGGTTCATCCGGCTCTCGTACTTCCAAAGCGTGCTTTCCACGAAACAAGTAGAGTGGATCGATCCCTTCCGTTTTGTTGCGGCGTGCATCCAATGTCCCAATGGACATTTGTTTCAGGACGCGACGTTGCGCCGATTCCGTCTCAAATGTGAGATACACCTGGGTCGTGTCCGGTTCTTGGACCGTTTTGAAAAAGGTTCGTATTTCCGTCTCGAGTTCCTCGAGTTTCTTCACCATGAGCGGCACGGGAGATTTGGACGAGCACATGCCGGTCTTTTCTTCTTGGATCCGTTCGACTTCCTTTTTCAAGGTCTCAATGTCGAGGGGAGTGTCGGGTGGCAACGCCATTTCGATTTGTCGTCGGAGGTCCCTCCGTCGGACCAGATACCCAATAATGGCCTCATTGTCCACATCCACCGTGCACACTGTGACCTTGTTGCGAGGACTGCCACTGTTGTTTGGATGATCGGGATCATTGTCGAGTGCTTGTTCAAAAAACGCTTTCCATTCCTCCGGATACCACGCATCCGGTGGTGGATTCTTGACAATAATGGAATAGTCTTGTGCCGTTTGCTCATCTTCATCAAAGCGAACTTCCATGCGTTCGGTTCGAAAATAGATGTGTGTTGTCCCCAGTATCATAATGAGCAGCGTTCCCCAATTGATCCACCCTTGTTGCGCGGTGGCTCCATCGCACAGATTCTTGAGGGCGAATCCCACCTCGACAAAATCCGAGTCACCGACACGTGTTTGGGATGGATCGTCCACAAATCCATCCTCGTGCTTTTCGGTAATGGATGGATACAAGTCCAGATAGCAGTCGGACGGTGTCGAATATCCACACCATAGAGGTGTGTAACCCAGCTGCTCCGTGACATTGGTACCATTCAGTATGAATCCCTCCTGTTCGTTCAAGACAATACTCCCGTATGCATCCGTTGTGGGAATGGTGCCGTTTCGTAGATTGTCGAGACGAACCACGTTTTGTTCCTCGGTTCGATTGAATACAAGATCCCATGTGAGCCATTCCGATTCAGAGTTGATGTCTTCAATGGAATGATTGGTATCCAGCAATTTCCAATCCAGATAGTCCGTGACATTGAGATAATATCCCGCGTCGGAGGGCACTGTGACCCACGCCAAGGAGAATCTCTTGATGGGATAGGCTCCTTTATTTTGCTTTTCAAATTCGTCCTTTTGACACGTGGGACAAGGGACCCATTTCCGATCGAGACAAATGGCCGACCCCCGCAACAAACCCGATCCCAGATTTTCATTAGTGGTGGAATCGTAATCCGTACTGGCAAAGTAGAGTAGATTGGGCAAACTGAGCAGACCTCCCAACAGGGCCAAAATGGCGAAGTCCCGTAGTGTCGAAAAGTAGAGCCCAAATCCCAATCCAAAGTCCCCCAATTGACTCAACGGTGTCGTCAAGAGGGGATACAGCTTGGTCCGATAGTGATGCTCTCCCGGTTCGGCAATGGACATTTTGCGATCTTTGGATTGTCGTTTTCCAGACGATCGTGTGGCATCATCAGTATTATCATTATCATTATCATTATCGTCGTTGTCGTCTTGTACAATATACCGTTCCAACGTGACGTGCTCAAAGAACGCCCACGCCTTGGCCAACGAGGGAGCATTGGGACCCGACTCCGGACCATAGAACCCGGGAAACCTTTCATTCAGCCACAAGGCCACTCGTCGACCGTACGTCATGTCTTCTGGCGAATCTCGAAACAACAGTGACTGCGCCACGCACGCCCTGGGTGTTGCCTCGATACCTTCTTCCGTTGGTTGCTCGGTTGGGGTTGCCATGGTTGAGTTAGTTGGTTAGTTAGTTAAATCAGGGAATCTATCTGAACGAGGTATATATGAGTAAGCGCTGCAGGTACGGTGGGAGCTACCAACTACCAATAGAGGTCTGAGAGGTGAGGAAGTGATAGTGAGAAAAAGAACAATCTCGGTGGCACTCATTTATGTCTCCCTCGACCCCCCAAAAGTCAGCGCTTTGGCCCCCTTTTTAGCGCTAAATTTGTCCCCCCTTTACCGCGGAACCTTTTACATAGACTAGCTAGTACCTGGTACCGGTACTGACTGTAAGCACTAGCTTCAACACGGTAGTTCGCATATCAGAACCTCAAACGATTGGTACAGAAAGTACAGCAGGACCGTCGTGCCGACATCGGCCCAATCCGTACACTACCTCTGTAGAATCGCTGTAGAGCCCCTGTAGAGGATTAGCCAATCAGAATCGTTCGATCTTGATTTCGATGACGTCAGCCGACTGACGTCAGTCAGATTCGATTCAATATTTCGCATCGATCTGGGTGTCAGCTCGATCAGTCTCCCGTCGTTTTTTTTCGTGTTGTTTTCGTGTTGTTTTCGAAAGACCGACGGAGCATGCATCCAGAGGATTTCGAATTTGAGCGAGATAGTGAAGCAAGACAATAAAACCGAGGTCATCCCTTCCGTATTCAGTAGCCGCAGAGGTACTTCGCAGAGGTGTAC